CGTCCAGGAGACAGGTGTTTTTAAAGTCTCTTCCTCAGTCCCCTTAGCAAAGGACTCATTTGGGTAGCCTTTTTGCCCCTCTTTTTTTTTAAGGGTTGCAATGAATTGAAGAATGGGGTTTTGCTTCTTTTTAGGACTGCCGGGAGTTTTGAGGAGCCACAATCCAAAAGAAAGGGGAAAAAGGGAGGCATTGGCAATGGGTTTATAACGGTTTCAATCTGATGGCTTTTATTACTGCTAATGTTTCATCCTATTTTAACATTTGTATGTTTAGGTTTTGCTTAGATTCATAGAGTCTTCATGTTTAATCCCCTGACATGGTTTTTATTTACTTACAGTATTTATATTCCGCCYTACTCWCCCCACAGGGGACTCAGGGCAGATTACAATGCACATACAYATGGCAAACATTCAATGCTAYGAGGGTTGAATGAAAAGTAATGCCTCAACCTTCGTAACTCCTCAACAGATGGCAGTACTGGTATGCGGCAGGTACTGGCTTGTTCAGTAGACTCTCCTCTACAGTTCCATTTGGCAGGAAGYCTTAGCATTGAATGGTTGTGTTGTTAAAGTGCGAAGTATGGAACCCTGCGCAGGCGGTCTGTCAATGTGACTTAAGCAACGTGCAGTCTTTGAATTCTTGGCAGCAGAAGGTGTCACCCCAAAGGAGATTCATCAGAGGATGCAAGCTGTTTATGGAGATTGTGTTGATGTGAGTACTCTGCGTCGTTGGGCGAGTAAGTTGAAAGATGTTGAGGTGGGAACATCTGACTTGCGTGACAAACAAAGAGCTGGACGTCCTGTGACAGCAACCACCGAGTTTCACAAGCAAAAGGTTGACAGATTGATTCAAGACAATCGTCGTATCACTCAGAGAGAAATTTCAAGCATAATCGGCATTTCACAAGAACATGTGCATCTCATTATTGCTTTGCGTGGCTATCGGAAGATCTGTGCACGATGGGTACCCAGGATGCTGATGCCTGAAATGAAAGCGCACCACAGCAGAACTTCAGAAACTGGATCTCACCACCGTACACCATCCTCCATACAGTCCAAATTTAGCACCGTCTGACTTCCATCTGTTCCTGATAATGAAAGAAGATCTGTGGGGACATCATTATGCTAATGATGAAGACGTTGAAAGAACTGTGAGACGCTGGTTGTGGAAACAGAGTGTCGACTTCTTCTGTGACGGCTTCAGAAAACTTGTTCATCGTTGGCAGAAATGTATCCAATTGTCTGGTGATTATGTGGAAAAGTGAATAATGGGAGTTAAAAAGCACATTCTCAGGATTATTTCTGCATTTGATTTATTAAAATATTCCCAACCAAACACCTTGGAGACTAGGACGCGGAACAATGGCTTCAAACTACAAGAGAGGAGATTCCATCTGAACATGAGGAAGAACTTCCTGACTGTGAGAGCCGTTCAGCAGTGGAACTCTCTGCCCCAGAGTGTGGTGGAGGCTCCTTCTTTGGAAGCTTTTAAACAGGGGCTGGGTGGCCATCTGTCAGGGGTGATTTGAATGCAATATCCCTGCTTCTTGGCAGAATGGGGTTGGACTGGATGATGGCCCATGAGGTCTCTTCCAACTCTTTGATTCTATGATTCTATGATTCTATAAGTAATGAAGGTGGAGGTATTACTTTTCATTCAACCCTCGTATTTAGACATACAACAGATATAGACAGACACAGAGGCAATTTAACATTCCAACTTTCCAGCTTCATGAGGGCATGCTCGATTCTGGCCACGGGGAGCTGCCACTTCACCGTCCACTTGTGACACCGAGTCCTTGATGGAGTACTCCTCATCTTTCTGCATGCTGCTGGAAAGTTTGATGGTCTCATAAATTAATTAAATTAGCCTCCCTGCATAAAGTGCTACCTAAATATCCTACTTGACAGATGCAACTATCTTTCAGGCTGCATAGGTCAACAGCAAGCTAGACTTAATGGTCAGAAGCTCACTCTGACCTGGGCTGGCTTTGAACTCATGACATTTAGCTGCATTAAGTTTCCTTTTTGAGCAGTTATGGGCAAACCCAAGCCCAGGGGCCAGATGCGGCCCTTTGGGCTCTTTTCTCAGGCCCTCCTCTCTCTCACCATCCTATCCATCTTTCCTTCTCTCTTTCCTTCCTCCTTTCCTTCCACCTTTTCGTCCTGACAGTATTTCCTGACCTTTGTCTTTGAAATATCGAAGGGAAGCCTTTATCGTGACATAAGGATGAATCGGTCAATCCGATTCCATGAATGTCTTGCGTGGAAATGGTGATGCGCACATTCCGCGCTCCTCTCCGACATATTTAGCCCGTCTTTTTTGCAATCCCCCAAATGCCTCTGCAAACAATTCCCGTTCCAGTCGGCCTGGCTCACATCCTCCGGCTATTTATAATCTGTTTTCTCCCTCTCCGTGTTCCGATTCTGCCAGCTGGCCCCGTTTCATCTTCTTCCTCCTCCTTGCTTTCATCTCCTTCGTCACCATGTGAGGATATCGTCTCAGGTCCCGGGGAATCGTTGCTTCGCCGGGTCTCCGACGAAGGGTCCTGTCCGCCTCTGAGTCACCCTCTTGACGCCAAAACTCTGACCGCTGCATTTATTTTAAGGCCTGTGTGTGTGTGTGCTCAGGGTGCCGAAAGCCTCCCTTCGGAAACATCTGAGTCATGCCAGAGAGTTGGCATGGCTGTATAAGGGAAGCTCGCTCGGCTCGTAAGAGTTCGACAGCAGAGTCCGGCCAACGCCTGGCAAAGACTGGCTCGGAGCAGGTGGGAGAAGGCAGAGCCCCAAAGGACATGTTTTCGAGTCCTGCTTATCCAATGTCATCATCACTCATGGACCAGATGGGATTTCAAGTGCATTCGCCTTGCTTGCAATACATAGTCATGGGGTGCATCTACAGCAGGCCTGGGCAAGCTTGGGCCCTCCAGGTGTTTTGGACTTCAACTCCCACAATTCCTAACAGCCGGTAGGCTGTTAGGAATTGTGGGAGTTGGAGTCCAAAACACCTGGAGGGCCCAAGCTTGCTCAGGCCTGATCTACACTGTAGAATTAATGTAGTTTGACCTCACTTTGAATGCAATGTATTGCACAGCAGCCATGCCAGAGTCATGGGATGCATCTACATTGTAGAATTAATGCAGTTTGGTCCCACTTTGGATGCAATGTATAGCATAGCAGCCATGCCAGAGTTATGAGTTATTTATTCTACACTAGAATTAATGCAGTTTGGCTTCACTTTGAATGCCATGTATCGCACAGCAGTCATGTTAGAGTCATGGGACACATCTACACTAGAATTAATACAGTTTGGTCCCACTTTAAATGCAATTTATAGCACTGCATTTGTGTTAGTGTCATGAGGTGCGTCTACACTGTAGAATTAATGCAGTTTGGCTTCACTTTGAATGCAATGCATAGCATTGCAGTCATGTTAGAGTCATGTGTTGCATCTACACTGTAGAATTAATACAGTTTGGCTCCACTTTGAGTGCAATGTATAGCATCGCGATCATGTTAGAGTCATGGGATGCATCTACATTGTAAAATTAACGTAATTTGGCCTCACTTTAAATGCAATTTATAACACAGCAGTCATGTTAGTGTCATGGGGTGCATCTACACTGTAGAATTATTGCAGTTTGACCTCACTTTGAATGCAATGTATAGCAGTCATGTTAGAGTAATGGGATTAATCTACACTATAGAATGAATGTAGTTTGGCCCCACTTTAACTCCATTGTATAGCACTGTTGTCATGTTAGTGTCATGGGTGTATCTACACTGTAGAATGAATCCAGTCTGGTCCCACTTTGAATGCAATGTATAGCATTGCAGTCATGTTATTGTCATGGGGTGCATCTGCACTAGAATTAGTACAGTTTGGCTCTACTTTGAGTGCAATGTATAGCACAGCAGTCATGTTAGTGTCATGGGGTGCATCTACATTGTAGAATTAATGCAGTTTGGCCTCACTTTAAATGCAATGTATAGTACAACAGTCATGCCAGAGTCATGGGATGCATCTACATTGTAGAATTTATGCAGTTTGGATCCAGTTTGAATGCAATCTATAGCACAGCAGCCATACCAGAGTCATGGGGTGCATCTACATTGTAGAATTGATGCAGTTTGGCCCCACTTTGAATGCAATGTATAGCATCACAGTCATGTTAGTGTCATGTGGTGCATCTACACAGTAGAATTAATGCAGCTTGGCCCCACTTTAAATGTAATGTATAGCACAGCAGGCATGCTGGAGTCATGGGGTGCTGCTACAATATAGTCATGTGTCTATATTGTAGAATGAATGCTGTTTGACACCTCTTTAAATACCATTTGTAGCACTGATGCCATGCAAGAATCATGGGGCGCATCCACATCGTAGAATGAATGCAGTTTAAGACCACTTGAGCTGCCCCAGCTAGATGCTATCAAGTCATTGAAATTGTAGTTTTACAAGGTCTTCAGCCTTCTCAGCCAAAGTGGGCTGGTGCTTCACCAAAGTACAAATCCCATTATTCTATAGTATTGATCCATGGCAATTCAAATGGTATCAAGCTGCATTCATTCTACAGTGTAGATGCAACTATGGAGTAGCAGAGCTGGAAGGGGTCCCTTGAGGTCATCCAACCCAAAGCCCTGCAATCATGTTTACACTGTCTGAAATTGAGGGTGAGGACTTTACTGTATGCAACCCTGAGATGTTTAGATAAGATAACAAGGCAGAAATATTAAAATAAATAAGTGGTTGTTGTTTTTAATCTCCCCAAAGCTGAGCCAGTGACGTCCAGACTGAAAGAGCTTCGGCTGCAGCGGGACGATTTTGAGATCCTCAAAGTAATCGGTCGGGGAGCCTTCAGCGAGGTGAGGATGGCACAGTTGGTGGGAAAGATGTTGGATGTATATGGCAGCCAATGAGGTCCAGGCCCTTGTTTTCCCAATTGGCCACATACCCTTTCTCTACTACACCTTTGTTTAGTGGCTTCCTACTTTTTCCACATGTTACCTAAATTTCCTACTTGACAGATGCAACTGTCTTTCAGGCTTCAAGGGTCGACAGCTAGCTAGACAAATGGTTGGGAGCTTACTCCGACCCGGGCTGGCTTCGAACTCACAACCTTTTGGTCAGTGGTGATTTTAATGCATCTGACTTCCAACCAGCTGCGCCACAACCTGGTCACAAATTCTAGAGGAAATGCACCTGGTTATGTTGGTTCCCCACTAACGCACCTTAAAGTGGAGGACCAGCTATGCAATGTTTGCCTGTTTGTGTTTTTTGGAGCGAACACAACAAATACGGCTTGCCATTGACATCATGGAGGGGGGAAAATAAGTTGTGTTGTTTTCTAATTTCTCTTCCTCTATTCTCTGCCTCTGTAGGTAGCCGTAGTCAAGCAGAAAAGGACCTCCCAGGTGTATGCCATGAAAATCATGAACAAGTGGGACATGCTGAAGCGAGGAGAGGTAGGTGCAAAGAGGCTGGCCATCTGTTGGGGAGGTTTTGGTTGTGCTTTTCCTGCATGGCAGGGGGTTGGACTAGATGACCTATGTGTTCTCTTCCAACTCTATGATTCTATTATTCCAGTTTTGTCCGATGGCATGGGGAAGTAATAGAGTTGTTGTTGTTGTTGCTGATGTGTTAAGTCATTTACAGGGTTTTCTTGGGCTGAGACAGTGTGGCTCTCCCAGTGGGTTTTCATGGCCGAGTGGGGATTCAAACTCGGGTCCCCAGAGTCCGAATTCACACAATGCAAACCCAGGCTTTCCTGCTTGGAAGCTAGCTTTTAAAAAACTCTAAAATCATAACAGTAAATAAAGATAGGGAGCTCCAGACAATAAACAATCAGGGACATCTCAACAAAGGATTCCCCCAGGAAGTAAGAAGCCACACCTTGAAAACTGCTAGGTCATTAAATGCTAATCATTTAATCAGCGAACTACAGGGAAGGCTGGTTCTGTTGTGTGTTGAGAACCAGAAAGGTAGTCTGTAGTCAGCGAACTACAGGGAAGGCTGGTTCTATTGTGTGTTGAGAACCAGAAAGGTAGTCTGTAGTCAGCGAACTACAGGGAAGGCTGGTTCTATTGTGTGTTGAGAACCAGAAAGGTAGTCTGTAGTCAGCGAACTACAGGGAAGGCTGGTTCTGTTGTGTGTTGAGAACCAGAAAGGCAGTCTGTAGTCAGCGAACTACAGGGAAGGCTGGTTCTGTTGTGTGTTGAGAACCAGAAAGGTAGTCTGTAGTCAGCGAACTACAGGGAAGGCTGGTTCTGTTGTGTGTTGAGAACCAGAAAGGTAGTCTGTAGTCAGCGAACTACAGGGAAGGCTGGTTCTGTTGTGTGTTGAGAACCAGAAAGGTAGTCTGTAGTCAGCGAACTACAGGGAAGGCTGGTTCTGTTGTGTGTTGAGAACCAGAAAGGTAGTCTGTAGTCAGCGAACTACAGGGAAGGCTGGTTCTGTTGTGTGTTGAGAACCAGAAAGGTAGTCTGTAGTCAGCGAACTACAGGGAAGGCTGGTTCTGTTGTGTGTTGAGAACCAGAAAAGTAGTCTGTAGTCAGCGAACTACAGGGAAGGCTGGTTCTGTTGTGTGTTGAGAACCAGAAAGGTAGTCTGTAGTCAGCGAACTACAGGGAAGGCTGGTTCTGTTGTGTGTTGAGAACCAGAAAGGTAGTCTGTAGTCAGCAAACTACAGGGAAGGCTGGTTCTGTTGTGTGTTGAGAAGCAGAAAGGTAGTCTGTAGTTAGCGAACTACAGGGAAGGCTGGTTCTGTTGTGTGTTGAGAACCAGAAAGGTAGTCTGTAGTCAGCGAACTACAGCGAAGGCTGGTTCTGTTGTGTGTTGAGAACCAGAAAGGTAGTCTATAGTCTAAGAACTACAGAGAAAGGCTGGTTCTTTTGTGTGTTGAAAACCAGAAAGGTAGTCTGTAGTCAGCGAACTACAGGGAAGGCTGGTTCTGTTGTGTGTTGAGAACCAGAAAGGTAGTCTGTAGTCAGCGAACTACAGGGAAGGCTGGTTCTGTTGTGTGTTGAGAACCAGAAAGGTAGTCTGTAGTCAGCGAACTACAGGGAAGGCTGGTTCTGTTGTGTGTTGAGAACCAGAAAAGTAGTCTGTAGTCAGCGAACTACAGAAAAGGCTGGTTCTATTGTGTGTTCAGAACCAGAAAGGTAGTCTGTAGTCTAATAACTACAAGGAAAGGCTGATTCTATTGTGTTAAGAATCAGGAAGGTTTGAGCTTTTTGCCTTTGTAGTTTAGATAGATTGAGTTGACTTATTTATATTATTAGTCAGTGTATGAGCAAAAGGGGGAGAGAGTCCTAATAAGAATCTTTACTACAACAGAAATAATATAAGGAAAGAATAAGTTTGTACCTGAAGTAATCTGTTAAAGAAAGAAACATGTTTTGAAGGAAAATAAGTTTAAAACCTGTTTAATGGAAGGAACAGTCCTCTCGAGAGTTGTTTTATGAAATGGTATAATTGTAACCACTGAAGAAATGTGCCTCTAAGAGTTAAGAAACATTGAAACCATCAAGCTTCTTCTATACTTCAATAAACTTGTTACAGTTTTTTTTCTAAAGCCAAGTCTCTGTTACAAATACTTTCAAGTTAAGCCACACTACACATTGAAGAAACACCAGTTCAATATTACAAGCCATTAGTTGTGTTATCAATTTAGTAAGTCCTTACAAAGTGGTGGCTCCTTTACAAACGGTTACAAACTGGTGGCATCTTCACAAACTGGTTGCCTCTTTTACAAATTGGTGGCTCCCGTTACACCTGCCATAGATGCAGGCGAAACGTCAGGAGAGAATGCTTCTGGAACATGGTCATACAGCCCGGAAAACTTACAGCAACCCAACCTTGCTATTGCTTTCTCCAGGTGTCTTGTTTCCGGGAGGAGCGTGACGTTTTGGTGAACGGAGACAAGCGCTGGATCACGCAGCTGCATTTTGCTTTCCAGGACGAGAATTACCTGGTGAGTGACATTGAGTGATATAATATATTCATTAAGAAGCAACTGCAGCACCGGACTCGCTCTTACGATCTGACTGGGCCCCTTTTTATTACCTAGGGGGGCTTCTACATGGTAGAATGAATCCAGTTTGGTACCACTTTAACTCCATGGCTCAATGCTATGGAATCATGCCAGCTGTAGTTTTGCAAAGTCACCTTCCAAAGCTTGCTAAGCCTCTCTAAAGTGCAACTCTCAGGATTCCATGATTCAAGCCCATGGGATTTGAAGAGGTACCAAACTGCATTAATTCTATAGTGTAGATGCACTTATTGGAGAGTGAGAAGTCGGAAGCTCAAAACAAATGTTGAATACAGCTCCTCATGTTGTGGTGACCCCCAACCACTACATTATTTTCGTTGCTACTTCATAACTGTAATTTTGCTCCTGTTTTGAATCGTAATGTAAATATCTGATATACAAGGATGTATTTTCATTCACTGGACCAAATCTGGCACAAATATCTGATACACCGACATTTGAATGCTGGTGGGGTTGGGGAAGGGGATTGATATTGTCATTTAGGTGATGTAGTTGCTGGGATTTATAGTTAACCTACAATCAAAGAGAATTCTGAACTCCACTAATGATGGGATTGAGCCAAACTTGGCACACAGAACTCTCACATCTAGATAGGCAGGAGCTGGCCTGAAGGCTAGGAGCTCACCCTGACCCAGGTTTCAAACAGTCACTCTTTCGATTTGCAAGATTTACCACAGCTAAAGCCCAACAGGGTGCATCTACACCGTAGTTTTACTCCACTTTAACTATCATGGAGTTTCTGTCAAACTTAGTCCTTTCCGAGTCTCTCGGGTGAAATTCGAACCCTAGACGACGACTCCTCAACGTCCTTTGCCTTCTCCTTCCTTGTAGTACCTGGTGATGGACTACTACGTCGGGGGCGACCTCTTGACACTGCTGAGCAAATTCGGGGACCGCATCCCGATGGAGATGGCCCGCTTCTACTTGGCCGAGATGGTGATGGCCATCGACTCCATTCACCGCATGGGTTACCTGCACAGGTAAGCCAGACAGGTGAGATGGGCGGCAAGGGGGGCTTTGGGCTGAGGAAGGACAATTCTCGAGGGTCCCAAGTGGAATATTTTCTGCCGTGTACAGTATTTGCTTTGGAAGTCCAAATGGAGGGTGCGTCTACGTCACTTATATTTCAGCCTTCTGCGTTATGTATGGTACTCACCACAATTATTGATTATTTTAATTATTTTTAATCACTTGATTGATACATTTTTAATTCTATTTTAGTATGTGTATGTGAGGGGTTTTAAAATGCCATTGTTCTTTTAATATAAGATCAATAATACAAAATATAATACGTTATTATATACTGTTAATATGAATATATTATTATTTTATTACTATATAATAATATAATACATTGTATTACTACTGCTATTAGTAATAATGAGAAGAAATAATACAAAATATGATATATAAATATTAACATATTATATACTAATATAATATATCAATTCTATATTATTATATAGCAATAATATTTTTAATTTAGTTTAATTTATTCAATGCTTAGACCACAGGTCTTTCACATCAGAACAAGCAAATAACTACATTAAAACCAGATTATAAATTCAATATAACATACACCATTAAAATACCAAATAAATCATTAAAATGCTACGTACATCAATGGCGAGATGCACCCTTAACATATCTATGGAGTAGCTATAATATATTATTATATAGTTGTAATATAATGATATATTAGTAGCCCCAGCTTCTGTCAACCTAGCAGTTCAAAAACATGCAAATGTGAGTAGATCAATAGGTACCGCTCTGGCGGGAAGGTAGAATACTATATTGATATTAATATATTATTACTTTATTATTGTATAATACTATAATACTTTGTGTTACTACTACTATTATTAATAACACAACAAATATTGTACAGTAACAATATTATAATAGTACATTAGTATTAATATAGTATATAGTAATATAATATATTAATATATGATATAGTAATAATAATATAATACTGTATTAATATTACTATATTATTATATACTAAGAATATACTATATTAATATCACTATTATTATAAACTAAGAATATAATTCTGTAGTAATATAGAATTAAAACAAATAAAATTTTTAAAAAGTTTGGAGCTACTTTGCGTCTCTCGAAAGATAAAGGTGGGAGATGGTGATGGTGATGATGATGATTGGATCCATGAGGCTGCTTCGGCCTTTTTTGTGCCTGAACAACGTTCCCAACCTGGAGCCAAAGCATCCCGAGACGTTGTCCTAGATTCATAATTGCCTAATTCATGTACAGCGGCGGAACAAGGCATCCTGGGCTCCCCTCCAAATGATGAGGATAGGAGCTTGGGAATGCAAAAGGGGGGCAGCCGCTGGGGAGAAATGGGTATGGGAAGGAAAGGGGGGGATATTAGTCATGTGATCTGGGCAAGATTTGGGGCAAGGAAGTACGTACATAGAATCCTAGAATTGGAAGAGACCCCAAAGGCCATCTAGTCTGACCCCATTCTGCCAGGCAGGAAGACACAATGAAAGCCCTCCCGACAGATAGCCATCTAGGCTGTGCTTTGAAAACCTCTGGACCAAGAGACTCCATCACACATATTCCACCATCAAACAGCTCTTACCATCAGGAAGCTCTTCCTAAAGTTTAGGTGGGATCTCTTCTCCTGCTAATTGGACTCCATTGCTCCCTTGTGTCCTAATTTCTGGAGCTTGGCTTAGGCGACCCCTCGTTGTCTGAGTAGGATAGTCTTCCAAGGTCAGTGTACAGGTGGGTCTGTAGGTGACTGTGGAGGCCTATTCTTGATCTGCATCTTCTCCCGCAGTGAGGGCATTGGTTTCCAGGTGGAAGGTGGTCCCGGTCGGGGTTGGCTTGACGCGCCTTCATCTGGCACGTTTCTCTCTTTCGCCCTCCATTCGTGCCTCTTCAAATTCTGCAGCACTGCTGGTCACAGCTGACCTCCAGCTGGAGCACTCAAGGGCCAGGGCTTCCCAGTTCTCAGTGTCTATGCCAGAGTTTTTAAGGTTGGCTTTGAGCCCATCTTTAAATCTCTTTTCCTGTCCACCAACATTCCGTTTTCCATTCTTGAGTTCGGAGTAGAGCAACTGCTTTGGGAGATGGTGGTCAGGCATCCGGACAACGTGGCCGGTCCAGCGGAGTTGATGGCGGAGGACCATCGCTTCAATGCTGGTGGTCTTTGCTTCTTCCAGCACGCTGACGTTTGTCTGCCTGTCTTCCCAAGAGATTTGCAGGATTTTCCGGAGGCAGCGCTGATGGAATCATTCCAGGAGTTGCATGTGACGTCTGTAGACAGTCCACGTTTCGCAGGCGTATAGCAGGGTTGGGAGGACAATAGCTTTATAAACAAGCACCTTGGTCTCCCTACGGATGTCCCGGTCCTCAAACACTCTCTGCTTCATTGGAAAAATGCTGCACTCGCAGAGCTCAGGGGTGTTGTATTTCAGTGTCAATGTTGACTTTGTTGGAGAGGTGGCTGCCAATGAGCGGAAATGGTCAACATTTTCTAGTGTTATACTGTATTTCTGGCATTGGAGAGGGATTGACTGTTGACTGCTGGATGAGCACTTTGATTTTCTCGATGTTCAATTAGAGGCCGGGCTTCTCGTCTGCTTCTGCGAAGGTGTTTAGAGTGGCTTGTAGGTCTTCTTCTGAATGGACACAGACGACGTTGTCATCAGCATATTGGAGTTCTATAACAGAGGTTGTTGTAACCTTGGTTTTGGCTATCAGAACACACCACCAAGCAAGTGAAGGTTGCCCTTTTGGAAAATGACTGTGTAACCATTTGCCACCTAGCCCAAAATGTCAGGATGATTGTGGGGTCCGTGAAAAGAATCACCCAAGACCATCTTCCCATGCATAAGATATTTGCTCACTGGGTCCCCCAGTTGCTCACACCTTTCCAGAAGCAGGAACAAGTCGAATGCTCTCAGGCTCTCTTGACAATGATGTGCCATGGAAACCAGGAGGACTCCAAGAGTGGCTTGTAGGTCTTCTTCTGAATGCGCACAGATGACATTGTCATCAGCATATTGGAGTTCTATAACAGATGTTGTTGTAACCTTGGTTCTGGCTTTCAGTCTGCTGAGGTTTCTCTGGTGCAGAGAAAACAAACTTTCCTCCTCCTTTCAAATATTTAAACCTGACTATCATGACAATTTTTTTGCATCCCAACTTGCAGTGTTTTCTTGGGGCCCTTTTGAGGTTGCCTAGTCCTCGTTCTCTCCCTTGTTTCTGCCCAATTTTCTGAGTATTTGCTGCCTAAGTAAGAAAGCTCTACGAAATACGAGTTGCAATAAGTGACTAGCCGACTGAAAGGCGCACACACACACAACCTGTCCTTCTCTTTCTTTCCTTCTAAACACTGTTAAACAGAGACATCAAACCAGACAACATCCTCCTCGACCGATGCGGACACATCCGACTTGGAGATTTTGGCTCCTGTCTCAAGCTCCGGGAAGATGGAACGGTGAGGTTTGAATCGGGCGGGACTGAGATGTTGGAGACGGGTTCATCTAGAAGGAATGGTTTGCTGTATGAAGCCTCAGCCATGCAGTTGTGGGTGGATTGCAATGCCCATCGCCCTTTGCCTGTATAGCCAAAGCAGAGCGATGGTGGGACAGTTCAGCACCATCTGGAGGAGCGCATCTTTCCCTGAGACCTGTCTTGTGGACTTTGATGGGTGCGTCTCGACCAGGCATGGGCAAACTTTGGCCCTCCAGGTGTTTTGGACTCCAACCCCCACAATTCCTAACAGCCTCGGACCCTTTCCTTTCCCCCCTCAGCCACTTAATCCTAGTCCGAGGCCACTGTTGGAAGTGGATCTGATGGATTAGATCAGGGGTCCCCAAATCAGTGTAGGCCAGCTTTTGGCTGATGAGAAAGTCAAGGGAATTAGGATTGTTCTGGTTTTTGTGCGCCTTCAAGTTGTCTCAGACTCAAAATGACCCAAAGGCAACCCTCTCACAAGAGTTTTCTGGTCAAGACACCACATTCTATTAGTTCCTTCCCTCTGTTTCCAACCTACATTTCTTTCTTCCTTTCTTACTTTTCTTCCTTCCTTTTGTTTTCCAGCAACTGTTTGTTCTTCCTTTTCTCCCCTCCCTCCTCCTTTCTTTTCTTCTTTCTCTCTCTCCTCTCTCTTTCTTTATTCCCCTCCTCCTCCATCTCTTCTTCCTTCTCTTATCTTCGTTCCTTACCTCTTTTTGCTCCACTCCCTTTCTTTTCTTCCCTCTTCTTCCTTCCTTCCTTCCTTCCTTCCTTTCTTCCTTCTTCTCACCTTCCTTTTCTTCTTCCCTCTTTCCTTTCCCCTTTCCTACCTTTCTCCCTCTATTTTCCCCTCCTCCGTCCCTTCTTCTCTTTCTTTCTTTCTTTCTTTCTTTCTTTCCTCCTCCTCCCTCCCTATTTTCCCTCCTTCCCTCTTTCCTTCCTTTTTTACCTTTCTTTCTCTATTTCCCTCCCACCCTCCCTCCCTTCCTTCCTTCCTTCCTTCCTTCCTTCCTTCCTTCCTTCCTTCCTTCCTTCCTTCCTTTCCTTCCTTCTCCCCTTTCCCTTTTATCCCCCCTTTCTTTCTTCCTCTTTCTCGCCTTCCTTTCTTTTCTTCCTCTCACTTTCCTTCTTTCCTTCCCTCTCTCTTTCTCTATTTTCCCTCCTCCTCCCTGCCTCTTTCCTTCCTTCCTTCCTTCCTTCCTTCCTTCCTTCCCTTCCTCCTCCCCCTCCCTCTTTTCTCCCTCCTACTTTCTTTCCTTGTCTTTTTTGTACCTTTCTTTCTCTATTTTCCCCTCTCCATCCTTTCTTCCCTCTTCCTTCCTTCCTCCCTTCCTTTTTCCCTTCTTCTTTTCTTCCTCTTCTCTTTCTTCTTTCCTTTTCCTCCTTTCTCCTTTTTCCTTCCTTCCTCCTCCCTCCCTCCCTTCCCTTCCTCCCTATTCTCCCTTCCTTCCTTCTTTCCTCTTTTTCCTGCCTCTTTCCTTCTTTCTTTATTTCCCCTCCCCTCCTTTCTCTCTCCTTTTTCCTTCCTTCCTTCCTCCTTCTCCCCTTCTTTTCTCCCTCCCTCCTTTCCTTTCTCCCTCTCTTCTCCCTCCCTTCTTTTCCTTCCTTTTCCTTTCCTTCCTTTTCTCTCCCTCTTTCTTCATTCCTTTCCTTCCTTTTTTCCCTCCCTCTTTCCTTCTTCCTTTCCTTCCTTTTCCCCTCCTCTTTCCTTCATTCTTTCCTCCTTTTCTCCCTCCCTCTTTCCTTCATTCCTTTCCTTCCTTTTCTCCCTCCTTCCCTCCTTCCTTTCTTTCGCAGTGGGTATATGTGCATGTGTGTGTGCCCATTGTGTTCAATGATAGGGGCAGCAGTGTGTGTGTTTGTGTGTGGGCCAGGGAGAAGACTTTTATGGGCCAGATCTGTCCTGTGGGCATCAGTCTAGGGACTCCTGGATTAGATGGATTGGCAGTCTCTGGATCATTCTCCTTCCATTCCCTTCCTGGGCAGGTCTGCTCCAGGGTGGCAGTGGGCACTCCAGATTACCTCTCCCCGGAGATCCTGCAAGCAGTGGAGGACAGCGCTCATTCTTACGGCACGGAGTGCGACTGGTGGTCTCTGGGCATCTTCGCCTATGAGATGTTCTTTGGCCACACTCCCTTCTTTGCGGACTCCGTCGTGGAGACCTATGGCAAGATCATCCATTTCAAGGTAGGTTTTTGCAGATGCATGAACAGAGATATTTGTATTGTGGCACAGTGTATATAAGTTACCACAATTGCACATAGATGAAAAGACTATACAGAAGATCTGTATAGGAAAGTTAATAATATTGAGGATGGCTTTGACAGTTTGGTGCGTGAATTAGAACCAGACATCCTGAGGAGTGAGGTCAAAACCAAATGCTATTATTCATAATGAGACTTGAGAATTTCATAATCTTGGAATCAATTGACATTGTACATAATGAGACTTGAGCATCCACGGGACTAATTGCCATTGTCCATAATGGGACTTGAGCTTCCATGGATTTTGGGTCCTGGAACAAAAATGCTATTGAACACAATGGGACTTGAGCATTAATAAATTTGTGATCCTGGAACCAAATGCCATTGTCCATAATGAGACTTGAGCATCCATAGATTTTGGGTTCTGGGACCAAATATCATTGAATTCAATGGAATTTGAGCATCCATAGATTTTGGGTTCTGGAATCAAATGCTGATGTACATAATAAGACTTGTGCACCTATAGTTTTAGGGCCCTGGAACCAATTGCCATTGTATATAATGAGACTGGAGCATCAATAGATTTTAGGGTCTGGAACCAAATGCCAAGCATCTATAGATCTTGGGTCTCGGATCCCAAGCCGTATGGATTTCTGGAGTGTTCCTTCCCAGCACGCGTAGCCACCCGCCACTCTTTGCTGTGTGCTTCCTATGGGTTCTGGTTTTATTTATTTGTCGTGTCAGAACAACCAGTCTAACAGAACAAAGCAAACAAGCAGATTACAAAATTTGTGAGTATGAGAGTTGATTAAATGTCCTTTGACCAGTATCTGGCCACTTGGAGTGCCTCTGGTGTTGCCGCAAGAAGGTCCTCAATTGTGCATGTGGCAGGGCTCAGGGTGCATTGCAGCAGATGGTCAGTGGTAAGTTCTTCTCCACACTCGCATGTCGAGGATTCCACTTTGTGGTCCCATTTCTTAAGATTGGCTCTGCCTCTCGTGGTGCCAGAGTGCAGTCTGTTCAGCGCCTTCCAAGTCGCCCAGTCTTCTGTGTGCCCAGGGGAGTCTCTCATTTGGTATCAGCCATTGGATTGAGGTTCTGGGTTTGAGCCTGCCACTTTTGGACTCTCGCTTGCTGAGGTGTTCCAGCGAGTGTCTCTGTAGATCTTAGAAAACTATTTCTAGATTTAAGTCGTTGATGTGCTGGCTGATACCCAAACAGGGGATGAGCTGGAGATGTCTCTGCCTTGGTCCTTTCACTATTGGCTGCTACTTCCCGGCGGATGTCAGGTGGTGCGATACCGGCTAGACAGTGTAGTTTCTCCAGTGGTGTAGGGCGCAGACACCCCGTGATAATGCAGCATGTCTCATTCAGAGCCACATCTACTGTTTTAGCTTGGTGAGATGTGTTCCACACTGGGCATGCATACTCAGCAGCAGAGTAGCATAGCGCAAGGGCAGATGTCTTCACTGTGTCTGGTTGTGATCCCCAGGTTGTGCCAGTCAGCTTTCGTATGATATTGTTTCTAGCACCCATTTTTTGCTTGATATTCAGGCAGTGCTTCTTGTAGGTCAGAGCACGGTCCAGAGTGACTCCCAGGTATTTGGGTGCGCTGCAATGCTCCAGTGGGATTCCTTCCCAGGTGATCCTCAGAGCTCGGGATGCTTGTCTGTTCTTGAGATAAAAGGCACATGTCTGTGTTTTAGATGGATTAGGGATCAGCTGGTTTTCCCTGTAACAGGCAATGAGAGCACCTAGAGCTTCGGAGAGCTTCTGTTCTACCATCTCAAAGCTCCATGGGTTCTGGTTACCACTATGTTCTTCTTCTCCTCCTGCCAGGAGCACTTCCGTTTCCCGCTCTCGGCCCCAGAGGTGCCCGCGGAGGCGCTGGCCCTGATAGCGGGGCTGGTGTGCCCACGGGAGACGCGTCTGGGTCGGCAGGGGCTTCGGGACTTCCAGGAGCACTCCTTCTTCCTGGGCCTGGCCTGGGAGGCCCTGCGGAGCTGCGTGCCCCCCTTCGCCCCCGAGTTCGCCAACCCCACCGACACCTGCAACTTTGACGTGGTGGACGACTGTCTCACTGACATGGTGAGCGGGGGAGGGGTACGTCACCTTTTCATATATTTATTTCTCCTCCCTTTTCTTCTTTCCTCCTTTTCTAAAGTCTTCCCTCTAAGGTAGCTTTTCTATCTACACACCTCCCTCTTGTGGTTGCATCTGAGCACTGCATGCATATTTCCTTCATTTTTGGGGCCTTGCCTCAAAAAAGGCTAATATTTTTCATTCGAAACCCTATCAGTATTTTAAGTTGATTCATGAAGGATCTGAATACCAAGTTTGGTCCCGATCCAACAAGCAATGGAGGAGCCTTTGTGGAACAAACAAAAATACTGTATATACTCGAGTATAAGCCTAGTTTTTCAGCCCCTTTTTTAAGGCTAAAAAAGTCCCCCTTGGTTTATACTAGAGTCAAAGTTATTTATTATTCTACTGTGTTATTATTATTATTTATTTTTTTCTTCTTCTTCTTCTTACATTTATCATTTTACACTATTATTATTATTATTACATTTATCATTTTACTCTTTTTATTGTTGTTATTACATTTATTATTTTATTCTATTATTATTACATTTATTATTTTACTCTATTATTATTGGAAGGATACATAAGCACATTTACATTTAAGAAGGTTAGAATAATGGTTGAATCAGAGTTGGACAGTCTTATCTTAAATTCCCATTTTATGTAAATATTCAAAAACATTGAACCTACGGATGCCTCAATTAATATAATTTTGGGTTGTTGTAGGTTTTCCGGGCTATATGGCCATGTTCTAGAGGCATTTTCTCCTGACGTTTCACCTACATCTATGGCAAGCATCCTCAGAGGTAGTGACGTCTGTTGGAACTAGGAAGAAGGGTTTATATATCTGTGGAATGACCAGGGTGGGACAAAGATCTCTTGTCTGCTGGAGCTAGGTGTGACGGCGCGAGTGGCGCCACCTATGTATAGAACTGTTAGTTGTAAGATTTAAACTGTTGTATCATGCTTAATCCTGCCCCTTTTGCCATGTTTCTGTATATTTGTATGGATTGGTTACTTGTAGCTGTCAATCAGCACTGTTTGGCTCCACCTCTTCCTGCAAGAGGGGAGAACTTCCTTTTCTTTTCATTCTGCCATGAGAGTTCCTGCAACATGGACGTGAGTAAGAGACTTCATTCTTAAAGGACCCTGTTTTAAGTCACCTCTTAGCACCAATTCTGAGGTTTTTTTTCCCCTGGGACTCATGCTTTATGTCCAGATCATCCTGGACGATACTGAGGAGACCCAGGCGCCTTCAAGCCAGTTCTTTTGGCACCAGAGGAAGATCCTGAATCTTCAAAATAGGCCATTTGAATTGGGGTTGTGGTTTTGCTCCGGCACTCACAACCATTGAGGAAGAGGAAACCTGGTGAGGCTTCTCAGCTTCAAACCCCTTGGACCCAGGACTAATAGAGACTGTAAAGTGTGTTTTCCTTCACCCCTCTAGGGTTTTCCAGTTTATTGCATTGAAGAAATGACTTTGTGACAAATAAAACTTGTTTTGAGTTATTTACATCGTTTTGGGTTCTTGGGAGTTCCAGTTTCCTAAAGGAGGGCAAGAAGCAATCCCTTGGGGGAAAGATGCCACGTCCATCCTCCTTTTAAGACTAATAGCCCCCAAGCGCGACGGCACACTAGGTGTGAATGTTTCAACTGACCACCTTGATTAGCATTTAATGGCTTGGAAGTGCCTGGTGGAATCTTTCTTTGAGAGGTGATTTGATGTGCCTGATTGTTTCCCCCAGGCACTTCCAAGCCATTAAATGCTAATCAAGGTGGTCAGTTGAAACATTCACACCTAGCTCCAGCAGACAAAAGTCCTTTGTCCCACCCTGGTCTTTCCACAGATATATAAACTAATTTTCCTACTTCCAACAGACCTCACTACCTCTGAGGATGCTTGCCATAGATGCAGGCGAAACATCAGGAGAAAATGCCTCTAGAACATGGCCATGTAGCTCAAAAAAACCTACAACAACCCAGTGATTCCGGCCATGAAAGCCTTCGACAATAATATAATTTTATTGGTATCTATTTTTATTTTGAAATTTACCCGTAGCTGCTGCATTTCCCACCCTTGGCTTATGTGTTGACTAACACACGTGCTATTGGCGCAGGAGCCTCACCAAGTTGGCAACTTGTCGGCAACACTATGGCTAACCTTTTCTTGCTTGGATCGGGACCGACCCAGACCCTTCCTTTTTTTGTTCCTTGTGTCTCCCTTCTGTAGGAAACCCTTTCGGACGTCATTGAGAGCTCTCCCCTCGGCGTCCACCTGCCTTTCGTGGGATATTCCTACACTTACGCAGCCGTGAAGTAAGAAGGCCGATGGGTTTGTGGGTTTGCTTTTGTGGGCCATATTATTACACTGTGTAACAACATTTGGAGGAAAAAATCTGTTCCTGGTTGGAAAGTATAATTTGCTATTGAATTGTGTGGTCCTTACTTGAAAGTTGGTGGCTAGAATCCGAAGCAGCGGTGTGAGCTCCCACTGCTAGCCCCAGCTTCTGCCAACCTAGCAGTTCAAAAACATGCAAATGTGAGTAGGTCAATAGGTACCGCTCTGGTGGGAATGTAACAGTGCTCCATGAAGTCATGCTGGCCACATGACCTTGGAGGTGTCTGTGGACAATGCCGGCTCTTCAGCTTAGAAATGGGGATGAGCACCAACCCCCAGAGTTGGACGCGACTAGACTTAATGTCAAGAGGAAACCTTTTCCTTTACCTAGTGTTACTATTAAAAATAATTGTTACAGTCGGCGAGGTTTGGAGTGTTACAGCTAAACCATAATCTCTCCTAGTAGCTTCAGCAAAGAGTGAGGATTGGGCATGGGAGGAGTTTGGACCAGAAGCCCTAGTAAAATTGCCATGGAAATATCATATAATAATAGTAATAATAATAATAATAATAAGCTAGCAGAAGGCCACCTTACTGGGATCTGCATGCATTATTCGCCGATACATCACACAGTCCTAGACACTTGGGAAGTGTCCAACGTGTGATCCAATTCAACAGCCAGCAGAGTGTCTGCTGTGGACTCATCTTGTTGTGTTTCAAATAATAATAATAATAATAATAATAATAATAATAATAATACATCACACAGTCCTAGACACTTGGGAAGTGTCTGACGTGTGATCCAATTCAACAGCCAGCAGAGTGTCTGCTGTGGACTCATCTTGTTGTGTTTCTAATAATAATAATAATAATAATAATAATAATAATAATAATAATAATAAGTGTCCTAGACACTTGGGAAGTGTCTGACGTGTGATCCAGTACAACAGCCAGCAGAGTGTCTGCTGGGGACTCATCTGGTTGTGTTTCTAACAATAATAATAATAATAATAATAATAATAATAATAATAATAAGACATCACACAGTCCTAGATACTTGGGAAGAGTCCAATGAGTGATCCAATTCAACAGCCAGCAGAGTGTCTGCTGGGGACTCATCTTGTTGTGTTTCAAATAATAATAATAATAATAATAATAATAATCTGCCTGCGACAAAGAACTGGTGGGATCACAAGCCGGAAAAAGTTACAGAAAATAAACATATTAAGCTACTCTGGGACTTCCAAATTCAGACAGACAGGGTTTTGGAGCACAAGACTCCTGACCTCATGATCGTGTTAAAAAGCAAAGTATGGATCGTCGATGTTGCAATCCCAGTTGACAGCAGGACTGAAGAGAAACAACTGGAAAAGCTGGCATGATACGAGGATTTAAAGATCGAAATGCAAAGACTCTGGCACAAGCCAGTCAAGGTGGTCCCTGTGGTGATCGACACACTGGGTGCAGTGCCCAAAGACCTTGGCCTGCACTTAAAAACAATCAGCGCTGACAAAATTACCATCTGTCAGCTGCAGAAGGCCACCCTACTGGGATCTGCACACATTATTTGCGGATACATCACACAGTCCTCAACACTTGGGAAGGGTCCGACGTGTGATTCAGTTCAACAGCCAGCTGTGAATTGGATCTTGTTGTGTTTCAAATAATAATATCACACAGTCCTAGACGCTTGGGAAGTGTTCAACTTGTGATTTTGTAATATGAAATCCAGCATATAGATCTCGTTTGTTGTGACATACTGTGTTTTTGTGTCAGTAAAATAATAATAATAATACATCACACAGTCCTAAACACTTGTGAAGTGTTCAACTTGTGATTTTGTGATACGAAATCCAGCATAGAGATCTCGTTTGCTGTGACATACTGCTTTTTGTGTCAGAATAATAATAATAATAATAATAATAATAATAATAATAATAATAATAATACATCACACAACCCTAAACGCTTGGGAAGTGTTCGACTTCTGATTTTGTGATACAAAATCCAGCATATAGATCTTGTTTGCTGTGACATACTGCTTTTTGTGCCAGTAATATAATAATAGTAATAGTAATAGTAATAGCAATAGTAATAATAATAATAATATAGAAACACCCAGCTCTGCATTCAGTTCAGTCTCTTGAACAGATGTCCTTTGCCAATTTACCATCTCAAGACCAAAGAGAGAACTCAAAGAGAGAACTCATAGTAATTACGAAGTTTCTGTTATTATGAGATTAATAAGGAACGCAGAAGGAACAAGGAAGTACATAAGGATTGGATTGTTTCAAATTGTGCAAATTGGTACGTTGCAGGCATGGGCAAACTTTGGCCCTCCAGGTGTTTTGGACTTCAACTCCCACAATTCCTAACAGCCGGTAGGCTGTTAGGAATTGTGGGAGTTGAAGTCCAAAACACCTGGAGGGCCGAAGTTTGCCCATGCCTGCTTTAGTGCCATGTTGGCTGACTTAGAGATTTCCAGTTTGCCCAGAGATGGGCTCCGTGAGACTCTCCCTTTCTCTCAGACAGAATGAGCCGGAAGAAGAAACGGGCTGCAGGGACCCCGTCATGGAGGTGGACGGTGCCAGGGAGACATCAGCCGAAGAGCAAAAGTGGCCCAAACAGGCTCCGGAGGGGATGGTAAGTCACAGAAGGAGATGTGGTGCCAACCTTTGGTGAGGTACCAGTGGTGCCTGTGCCTTGCCGCAGCAACATGGATCCATCCCCTCTTTTCCTTGCCAGGTGTACGAACTACCAGACGGCCAGAAGCTGGACTTGACCACTTTTCTGGAGTTGCAGACGGCGCTGGAGGAAGAGCTGCGGAGCCGGGAGATGCTGTGCCAGGAGCTCAGCGTGGTCAAGTTGGCCAACCAGACCTTTGCCAGGTGAGGGGGGCACCACAGAGAAGGCTCCTTGAGCCCATCGTTTTACCATCTTCTCTATTACAATGTCCAATCCACCAAGGAAAACGTTTGGAGGGCTGGGGCTTTAGAAAGGTCACCTTTGAGGATCCAAGTTTATTGGAGTCTCCTGTTTGGGAATTCAGTGGTTGCAGATCTCTATGGGCTTAAGATAGACAAACACCAATCACAGTTCTTGAGGGCCCACTACCAGTTCCCCAGATGTATTCTTGAGGGCTCTCTACCAGTTTCTCAGATGTATTCTTGAGGGCGCTCTTCCAGTTCCCCAGATCTGTTCCTGAGGGCCTTCTTCCAGGTCCCCAGATGTATTCTTGAGGGACTTCTTCCAGTTCCACAGATGTATTCTTGAGGGCCCTTCTTCCTGTTCCCCAGATGTTTTCTTGAGGGCCCTCTTCCATTTCCCCAGATGTGTTCTTGAAGGCCCCCCTTCCAGTTCCCCAGATGTGTTCTTGAGGGCCTCCTTCCAGTTCCCCAGATGTGTTCTTGAGGGCCCTCTTCCTGTTCTCCAGATGTGTTCTTGAGGGCCCTCTTCCACTTCCCCAGATGTGTTCTTGAGGGCCCTCTTCCACTTCCCCAGATGTGTTCTTGAGGGCCCTCTTCCACTTCCCCAGATGTGTTCTTGAGGGCCCTCTTCCTGTTCCCCAGATGTGTTCTTGAGGGCCCTCTTCCTGTTCCCCAGATGTGTTCTTGAGGGCCCTCTTCCTGTTCCCCAGATGTGTTCTTGAGGGCCCTCTTCCAGTTCCCCAGATGTGTTCTTGAGGGCCCTCTTCCAGTTCCCCAGATGTGTTCTTGAGGGCCCTCTTCCTGTTCCCCAGATGTGTTCTTGTGGGCCCTCTTCCAGTTCCCCAGATGTGTTCTTGAGGGCCCTCTTCCTGTTTCCCAGATGTGTTCTTGAGGGCCCTCTTCCTGCTCCCCAGATGTGTTCTTGAGGGCCCTCTTCCTGTTCCCCAGATGTGTTCTTGAGGGCCCTCTTCCAGTTCCCCAGATGTGTTCTTGAGGGCCCTCTTCCAGTTCCCCAGATGTGTTCTTGAGGGCCCTCTTCCAGTTCCCCAGATGTGTTCTTGAGGGCCCTCTTCCTGTTCCCCAGATGTGTTCTTGAGGGCCCTCTTCCACTTCCCCAGATGTGTTCTTGAGGGCCCTCTTCCTGTTCCCCAGATGTGTTCTTGAGGGCCCTCTTCCACTTCCCCAGATGTGTTCTTGAGGGCCCTCTTCCACTTCCCCAGATGTGTTCTTGAGGGCCCTCTTCCACTTCCCCAGATGTGTTCTTGAGGGCCCTCTTCCACTTCCCCAGATGTGTTCTTGAGGGCCCTCTTCCACTTCCCCAGATGTGTTCTTGAGGGCCCTCTTCCTGTTCCCCAGATGTGTTCTTGAGGGCCCTCTTCCACTTCCCCAGATGTGTTCTTGAGGGCCCTCTTCCTGTTCCCCAGATGTGTTCTTGAGGGCCCTCTTCCACTTCCCCAGATGTGTTCTTGAGGGCCCTCTTCCTGTTCCCCAGATGTGTTCTTGAGGGCCCTCTTCCACTTCCCCAGATGTGTTCTTGAGGGCCCTCTTCCTCTTCCCCAGATGTGTTCTTGAGGGCCCTCTTCCTGTTCCCCAGATGTGTTCTTGAGGGCCCTCTTCCACTTCCTCAGATGTGTTCTTGAGGGCCCTCTTCCTGTTCCCCAGATGTGTTCTTGAGGGCCCTCTTCCTGTTCCCCAGATGTGTTCTTGAGGGCCCTCTTCCAGTTCCCCAGATGTGTTCTTGAGGGCCCTCTTCCTGTTCCCCAGATGTGTTCTTGAGGGCCCTCTTCCAGTTCCCCAGATGTGTTCTTGAGGGCCCTCTTCCTGTTCCCCAGATGTGTTCTTGAGGGCCCTCTTCCACTTCCCCAGATGTGTTCTTGAGGGCCCTCTTCCACTTCCCCAGATGTGTTCTTGAGGGCCCTCTTCCTGTTCCCCAGATGTGTTCTTGAGGGCCCTCTTCCTGTTCCCCAGATGTGTTCTTGAGGGCCCTCTTCCTGTTCCCCAGATGTGTTCTTGAGGGCCCTCTTCCACTTCCCCAGATGTGTTCTTGAGGGCCCTCTTCCTGTTCCCCAGATGTGTTCTTGAGGGCCCTCTTCCACTTCCCCAGATGTGTTCTTGAGGGCCCTCTTCCTGTTCCCCAGATGTGTTCTTGAGGGCCCTCTTCCCCTTCCCCAGATGTGTTCTTGAGGGCCCTCTTCCTGTTCCCCAGATGTGTTCTTGAGGGCCCTCTTCCTTCCCCAGATGTGTTCTTGAGGGCCCTCTTCCTGTTCCCCAGATGTGTTCTTGAGGGCCCTCTTCCACTTCCCCAGATGTGTTCTTGAGGGCCCTCTTCCTGTTCCCCAGATGTGTTCTTGAGGGCCCTCTTCCAGTTCCCCAGGTGTGTTCTTGATTCTTGAGGGCTCTCTTCCAGTTCCCCAGTTTGACTTTGTCATTTGGGAGTTATAGTTACTATGTTTTATATTTCACCTACAACCAAAGAGCATTCTGAACTCCAACAACCATGGAATTGAAGCAAACTTGGCACACAGAACTCCCATGACCAATAGAAAATACTGGAACTCATTGACCTTGAGTCTCGGAGTTGTAGTTCACCTACACCCAGAGAGCACTGTGGACTCAAACAATGATGGATCTGGACCAAACTTGGCACAAATACTCAATATGCCCAAAGTGAACACTGGTGGAGTTTAGGGAAAATAGAGCTTGACATTTGGGAGTTGTAGTTGCTGGGATTTATAGTTCAACTACAATCAAAGAGCATTTTGAAATCCACCAACGATGGAACTGAACCAAACCAGACACATAGAACTCCCATGACCAACTGAAAATACTGGAAGGTTTTGGTTGTGCATTGACCTTGAGTTTGGGAGTTGTAGTTCACCTACATCCCGAGAGCACTGTGGACTCAAACAATGATGGATCTGGACCAAACTTGGCATGGATATTCACTATGCCCAAATGGAGTTTTGAGCAAATAGATCTTGTCATTTGGGGGTTTGGCGTTTGGGAATACTAGATTTTGGGAATACTGGTGGTGTGGGGGAGACTGATTTCATCATTTGGGAGTTCTAGTTCACCTACAATCAAAGAGCATTCTGAACTCCGCCAACGATAGAACTGAGCCAAACTTCCCGCACAGAACCACCATGACCAACAGAAAATACTGTGTTTTTAATGGTTTTTGGTGACTCCTCTGGGACTCCCCAGGGGTCCCGACCCCAAGGTTGAGAAACACCGCTCTAGGTCTTCCAGGCAAGCCTATATTATACTTCCCTTGGAAGTTACCTTAAAATTGCTTTGGAAGACCTAACCCAATTCCTAGACAAGATACCAGTCCCAGGATACATCTTATTTCTGGAATACGACATGATGTAACACGATTTTTGTTCCTAGGTTATAAATGTCATTTCTTAATTGGTTCTATCATAAAAACATGGGGAAAGTTTATTATTATTGTCAGTTTTGGAGCCATTTCCCAAAGTATTTTATGCCATCGTTCAATGTTAATCACAGGCTCCACATTTCCCAAAAGTTGCAGCGCTTTGTTTTGGTGCAGCATTTGCACCAAGGAATTTGCTCTTCTATTGGAAGCGTGGATAAGGGATACTCACTGTAGTCAAGCTTGGGGAGTCATTTCCCCCACTAAATACCCATCGCCTTGCTTGTTTCCTCCTTCCAGCCAACTGAAGGAAGCCGAGAGCCGCAACTTGGAACTGGAAGCTCAAATCAAACGCTTGGAGGAGCAGATCGAAGGGATGAAAACGATGGGCGAGGAAGGCAAGTTGCTCCCGTCTGCTCCAAATCGTGGCCTTGCTTTCCCTGCTGGAGTTTGCCTTCACCCCTAACCCTTCCTTCCTATAGATTTACCTTCTTTCATGCTGGGTTGTTGTAGGTTTTTTCGGGCTATATGGCCATTTTCTAGAGGCATTCTCTCCTGATGTTTTGCCTGCATCTATGGCAAGCATCCTCAGAGGTAGTGAGGTAGGGTGGGGTCTCACTACCTCTGAGGATGCTTGCCATAGATGCAGGCAAAACGTCAGGAGAGAATGCTTCTAGAACATGGAAATATAGCCTGAAAAAACCTACAAAACCCTGTGATTCCGGCCATGAAAGCCTTCGACAATACATTCTTTCATGCTATTTAGAAAGGGTTAAAAGGAGAGTCTGAAGAGAGGGAGGAAGTGTGTTCTTGAGCAATGACAGAAAGGTCCCAAAAGTTTCTATAAGAGGAGATTCAATTAAAGAAAACTTCGCCACACTCTGAGAAACAGAATATGCAACTGGCTTGGAGTATCCTTCTCTGCTGGTTTTTAATCAGAAACTGGATGGTTGTCTGTCAGGAGGGCTTGGGTTGTGTATTCCTGCATAGCAAAATGAGGTTGGACTGGATTGTCTTTGGGGTTCCCTTCTGACTCTAGTGGAATACTATCAGAAAGTCCAATGGAGGTGCCTTCTCTACATGTTTTTAAACAGAAACTGTTGGGAGTGCTTGGACGGTTTCCTCCAGAATGGCAGGAACAGCCCTTAGAGTCTTTTCTATGGCTCTGTGACCATTTTATGGTGGTCTATAAACAACACAACCGTTCAATGCTAAGGCTTCCCGCCAAAATTGAACTGTAGAGGAGAGTCTACAGAACAAGCCAGTACCTGCCGCATACCAGTACTGCCATCTGTTGAGGAGTTACGAAGGTGGAGGTACTACGTATTGTCAAAGGCTTTCATGGCCAGAATCACTAGGTTCTTGTGGGTTTTTTCGGGCTATATGGCCATGTTCTAGAGGCATTTCTCCTGATGTTTCGCCTGCATCTATGGCAAGCATCCTCAGAGGTAGTGAGGTCTGTTGGAATTAGGACAATGGGTTTATATATCTGTGGAATGGCTGGGGTGGGACAAAGAGCTCTTCTCTGCTGGAGCTAGGTGTGAATGTTTCAACTGACCACCTTCATTAGCCTTTGAAGGCCTGGCTGAGCCTGGGAAAATCTTTTGTTGAGAGGTGTTAAGATGTGCCTGGTTGTTTCCTCTCTGCTGTTTTGCTGTTGTAATTTTAGAGTTTTTTAATACTGGTAGCCAGATTTTGTTCATTTTCATGGTCTCCTCCTTTCTGTTGAAATTGTCCACATGCTTGTGGATTTCAATGGCTTCTCTGTGTAGTCTGACATGGTGGTTGTTGGAGTGGTCCAGCATTTCTGTGTTCTCAAATAATATGCTGTGTCCAGGCTGGTTCATCAGGTGCTCTGCTATGGCTGACTTCTCTGGTTGAAGTAGTCTGCAGTGCCTTTCATGTTCCTTGATTCGTGTCTGGGCAATGCTGCTGCGTTTGGTGGTCCCTATGTAGAGTTGTCCACAGCTGCATGGTATACGGTAGACTCCTGCAGAGGTGAGAGGATCCCTCTTGTCCTTTGCTGAACGTAGCATTTGTTGGATTTTCTTGGTGGGTTTGTAGATTGTTTGTATGTTGTGTTTGCTCATCAGCTTCCCTATGCGGTCAGTGGTTCCCTTGATGTATGACAAGAACACTTTTCCTCTGGGTGGATCTTCCTTGACTCTCGTGGCTTCTTCTCGGTTTTCTTGCAGCTCTTCTGATGTCTGAGGTGGAGTCTCCATTGGCCTGGAGAGCCCAGTTGAGGTGGTTCAGTTCATCTTGGAGGAGGTGGGCTTCGCAGATTCTTTTTGCACGGTCTGCCAAGGCTTTAATGGTGCTTCTTTTTTGACTTGGGTGATGGTTGGAGTTTTTATGTAGATATCTATCTGTGTGTGTGGGTTTTCTGTAGACGGTGTGACCCAATTGTTGATCTGGTTTGCGGATGACTAGGACATCTAGAAAAGGCAGTCTTCCTTCATTTTCTTTTTCCATTGTGAACTGGATTTTTGGGTGGATGTTCTAGAACATGGCCATACAGCCCGAAAAAACCCACAAGAACCTAGTGATTCCAGCCATGAAAGCCTTCGACAATACATTGAACTCTTGTCTGTTGGAGATAGGTGTGAATGTTTCCATTGGCCACCTTGATTAGCATTTGATGGTCTGATAGTTTTTAGGTGTGGCTTGTTACTGCCTAGGCCAGTGGTTCTCAACCTGTGGGTCCCCAGGTGTTTTGGCCTACAACTCCCAGAAATCCCAGCCAGTTTACCAGCTGTTAGGATTTCTGGGAGTTGAAGGCCAAAACATCTGGGGACCTACAGGTTGAGAACCACTGGCCTAGAAGAATCCTTTTTTGAGAGGTGATTAGCTGTTCCTGTTTGTTTCTTGTCTGGAGTTCCTCTGCATTTGAGTTTTGTTCTTTATTTACTGTTATAATTTTAGAGTTTTTTAAAATACCGGTAGCCAGATTTTATTCATTTTCATGGTTTCTTCATTTTTGTTGGAATTGTCCACATGGCTCTCAACTCTGCAGATGTTTTGGGCTCCAGCGCCTAGAAATCTCAGCCTGTTGGCCTATGCTCAGGGGCTGAATTCCCAAACATGTGGCACAGAAGCGACCAAGGAGCTCAGATTTAGGAGATTCTGTGCCTGAACTGGAATTGCATGGGATGTTTTAGCAGAGGAAGAGAAGCACTGCGTGGTGGCGATGCTCAGAGCATGGCAGCATGATGCGCCTTTGCCCAACCATCCTGCAAGCTGGCATGATGGGTTCTTGGCGTGCTTTCCTATGCATGCTCTCCTCTTTCCTGACTTTCTACCCATTTCCCCACCAAGGAAACCTGGGTCCCACTTTTCTCTTTTCCTTCCAGCTCCTCTGCTATGGAGCCCTCGCTGCCCTGCCACTTTCTTGTGCGGCGTGGAGTGCCCGGCTGATGTAAGCCTGACTTTGCTGGTTGCCAGAACTTATGGAGAATTTCAAAAGGGGGGTTATGTTGGTGGGATAAGGAGTAAGACCCAAGTTATACTTGCTTGCTTAGGCAATCCCTCATTGTCTGAGAAAGATTGTCCTCCAAGTGTCCTGGTGGTGGGTACGTAGGTGACGGTGGAGCCCTGTTCTTGATCCGCATGTTCTCCTGCAGTGAGGGCATAGGTTTTCAGGTGGAAGGCAGTTCCAGTCGGGGTTGGCTTGATGCGCCTTCCTCTTGGCACATTTCTCCCTTTCGCCCTCCATCCATGCCTCTTCAAATTCTGCAGCACTGCTGGTCAGAGCTGACTTCCAGCTAGAGCACTCAAGGGCCAGGGCTTCCCAGTTCTCTCTCTGTGTCCATGTCACAGTTTTTAAGGTTGGCTTTAAGCCCATGTTTAAATTTCTTTTCCTGTCCACCAACATTACGTTTCCCATTCTTGAGTTGGGAGTATACTAACTGCTTTGGGAAATGGTGATTGAACATTCGGACAACGTGGCTGGTCCAGTGGAGTTAATGGCGGGGGAGCATCGCTTCAATGCTGGTGGCTTTTGCTTCTTCCAGCTCGCTGACATTTGTTTGCCTGTCTTCCCAAGAGATTTGCAGGATTTTTCGGAGGCAACGCTGGTGGAATAGTTTCAGGAGTGTGACGTCTGTAGACAGTCCACGTTTCGCAGGCATTGAGGAGTGGGCAAGCTTGGTCTCTGCTGCTTTATAGACTTGGACACAATGGAGCCATGGGTTCAAATGGCAGAAAAAGATATTCCACCTAAATGTTAGGAAGAACTTTCTGACCGTGAAGCGCTGTTTTGCAGTAGAATATGCCGCCATGGAGTTCAATGGAACCTCCTTTCCCGGAGGTTTCTAAGCATGGCCATCTGTCAGGAAGGCTTTGATGGTGTCTTCCTGTACAGCAGAGGGCTTCACTTAGATGGTTCTTTGGATCTTTTCAAACTTGAGCATTCTATGATTCAGCAGAGACTGGATGGCCATCTGTTAGGAAGGCTTTGATAGTGTCTTCCTGAACAGCAGAGGGCTTCACTTAGATGGTCCTTTGGATCTTTTCAAACTTTAGCATTCTATGATTCAGCAGAGACTGGATGGCCATCTGTTAGGAAGGCTTTGATGGTGTCTTCCTGTACAGCAGAGGGCTTCACTTAGATGGTCCTTTGGATCTTTTCAAACTTTAGCATTCTATGATTCAGCAGAGAATGGATGGCCATCTGTCAGGAAGGCTTTGATGGTGTCTTCCTGTACAGCTAAGGGCTTCACTTAGATGGTTCTTTGGATCTTTTCAAACTTTAGCATTCTATGATTCAATGGAGACTGGATGGCCATCTGTCAGGAAGGCTTTGACAGTGTCTTCCTGTACAGCTAAGGGCTTCACTTAGATGGCTCTTTGGATCTTTTCAAACTTTAGCAATCTATGATTCAGCAGAGAATGGATGGCCATTTGTCAGGAAAGCTTTGATTGTGTCACCCTGCCTTGCAGATGAGGGTTCAACTGGATGGGGTCCCTTCCAACTCTATAAGATTATATAGGACACGGGAGGGCCATATCCCTTCCCAAATGATTTCGGAGCTTATTTCTGTGTAGAAGGTAACATGGCTATAGCCTTTCCAGCCCCAAAAGCCACAATTGTGTAGAGTATGTGTATCTTGCTCCTCTTCCCTACTTTCGCCGTCCAGCGCTGGCCGCTCTGCTGACCGGTGACCTCTGCTTTCTCTTTCCAGCAAGGCGGCACCATGGCATCTCGGCTCTGTGAATACCCGCTTGTGGTACCTCTGTACCGGCACTTGCTGCTCTTTTCCAGGGTACGTTGGCTGCGCACACCAAGACACACATGCGCCTCCTCTCTGCTCTGGCTCTGCTGCAAAAAAGGAGCGCCTGCTTTTGCTGGTAGCTGAGCCCTGCCCTTCCTTTGTTTTGCTTTCTCTTTGGGGGTATATACACATGTAAAGTCACGTCTACACACTTGCATGCCTTCCTTTCACATGTGGCCCATCAAGTAACATTGCTGAGGTCTGGAGACCATGATAGTTGAGTGTCCCTTCTAAGCAACCAAGGGCAGGATTCCATATCAACGACTGAATGTATGCATTCCCTTGGGTCTGCTGCTTTCCAGTAGGGCCTGACTGGGTACATCCTTCTCCTATCTACAGGACTATAGTCCCCAGCATCCCTCACCATTGGGCTACACTGATGAGAAATGTATTCGTCATACCTGGAAGACCATATTTGGCCAGCCTCCATAGCAGTGTTTCTCAACCAAGGGGTCCCGAGGGGGTGTCAGTGGGGTCACCAAAGACCATCAGGAAACACCGTATGTTCTGATGATCATGGGAGTTGTGTGTGCCAAGTTTGGCCCAATTCTATCGTCAATGGGGTTCAGAATGCTCTTTGATTGTAGGTGAACTATAAATCCCAGCAACTACAACTCCCAAATGACAAAATCAATCATCTCCCCCCCACACACACACACCATCAGTATCCCCAAACTTTATAATTCCCAAATCCACAAATGTCAAGGTCTCTTTCCCCCAAATTCCACCAGTGTTCAAATTTGGGCATATTGAGTATTTGTGCCAAGTTTGATCCAGATCCATCATTGTTTGAGTCCACAGTGCTCTCTGGATGTCAGTGAACTACAACTCCCAAACTCAAGATCAATGCCCACCAAACCCTTCTAGTATTTTCCGTTAGTCGTGGGAGTTCTGCATGTCTGGTTTCGTTCAATTCAATCATTGGTGGAGTTCAGAATGCTCTTTGATTGTAGGTGAACTATACATCCCAGAAACTACAACTCCCAAATGTCAAGGTCTCTTTTCCTCAAACTCCACCAGTGTTCACATTTGGGCATATTGAGTATTTGTGCTAGGTTTGGTCCAAATCCATCGTTGTTTGGGCTCACAGTGCTCTCTGGATATAGGTGAACTACAACTCCAAAACTCTAGGTCAATGCCCACCAATGCTTTCTGGATGTAGGTGAACTACAACTCCAAAACTCAAGGTCAATGCCCACCAAACCTTTCCAGTATTTTCCGTTAGTCATGGGAGTTCCGTGTGCCAAGTTTGGTTCAATTCCATCATTGGTGGAGTTCAAAATGCTCTTTGATTGTAGGCGAACTATAAATCCCAGCAACTACAACTCCCAAATGTCAAGGTCTCTTTCCCCCAAACTCCACCAGTGTTCAAATTTGGGCATATTGAGTATCTGTGCCAAGTCTGTGTGCCAAGACCGGTTCAATTCCATCACTGGTGGAGTTCAGAATGCTCTTTGGTTGTAGGCGAACTATAAATCCCAGCAACTAGAACTCCCAAATGACAAAATCAATATCCTCTCCACACCCACCAGTTTTCAAATTCGGGCGTATCGCCCTGAGTCCCTTTGGGGAGATAGAGTGGAATATAAATAAATTATTTATATAAATAATTTATATAAATTATTTATATAAATAATAAAAAATAAATAATTATATAAATTATTTATATAAATAATAATAATAATAATAAATAAATAATATAAATTATTATTATTATTATTATTATTATTATTGCCAAATTTGGTCCAATGAATGACAATACATCCTGCGTATCGAATATTTACATGATGATTCATAACAGTAGCAAAATTATTGCTATGAAGTAGCAACGAAAATAATGTTATGCTTGGGGGGTCACCACAACATGAGGAACTGTATTAAGGGGTTGTTGCATTAGGAAGGTTGAGAAACACTGCTCTATGGGGGACAAAATGAAAATGATGCATTCCTATGCATCTTTCTAGCTGGGATGTAGACCTCTTTGATACTCAGTTCAGTTCACATATTCCTATATGATTTGAATGTGATTTTCCTGCTACTTGACAGAATGGGGTTGGACTGGATATCCCATGAGGTCTCTTCCAACCCTATCATTCTGTATCTCTATTGGGAGAGTTTTAATTTTGGGGCATTATTTGTGGTTCTCTTCCCACTGCACTTTAAGTGTCTCTTTCCTTCCCTCTTGATGGGCTTGCTTTTCCTCCGCAGGTACATAGGCCCTGCATCGTCAAGGTGGGATACCTGCTCCTGTGTACTGGCGGTTTCCGACGGGAGGTCTCTGCCCTTCGTAGCCTTGCAGATGTGGTTTGAACACTGCTGGAGGATCCCGGGTCTTTTGCCGCTGCTGTGGGATGGACCTGTGCCCTATAGCTGCCTTGCGGAGATGCTGCGGATCAGATACTGTCTGCTTTGGGGCTCTTTGGGGGCCAGAGGGACAAGAACAACACTCCTTCCTGCACTTTGCTCTCTAGAGGCGATTGTTCTGGCTCAGATCCCTTGGAGCTTCCCCCAGAGCTTTGCTTTTTTCTCCCTTTCTTTGCAAGCACGACGCTGCTGGTTCCCGGTAACCACTGCCCCACAAGAGTGGGTGCAGAGGAGGCATTACTTTTAGGGGAAGATGAGGAAGATGAGGAGCTGGAACCTTGGAAAGCAAGGCGAGCGCTTCTTTTCCTTGTCCAACCCCTTCACCAATCCTTCCCCTCTGGCCTTTCCGTATTTAGCTTTTCAAATCCCACCTTGCACAGGTGTTTTCCAGGCCCTGCTCCAGTTTGATCCTACTTGCATTCAACCTGGACGGGAAATGCAACCAGCAAAACACAGGAAAAGAGATTCCACTTGAACATTAGCAAGAACTTCCTGACCATAAGAAGAGCTGTTCGGCCTCGGAGTCTGGTGGAAAAGAAGCTCCTTCTTTGGAGGTTTTTAAACAGAGGCTTGGATGGCCATCTGTCAGGAATGCTTTGATTGTGTTTTTTCTGCATGGCAGGGTCTAGCAAGAACCTCCTGACCATAAGAAGAGCTGTTCTGCCTCGGAGTCTGGTGGAAAAGAAGCTCCTTCTTTGGAAGCTTTTAAACAGAGGCTGGATGGCCATCTGTCGGGAGTGCTTTGATTGTGCTTTTCCTACTTGGCAGGGTCTAGCAAGAACCTCCTGACCATAAAAAGAGCTGTTTTGCCTCGGAAACCAGTGGAAAAGCAGCTCCTTCTTTGGAAGCTTTTAAAGAGAGGCTGGATGGCCATCTGTCGGGAGTGCTTTGAATGTGCTTTTCCTGCATGGCAGAGCCTTCCTGCACGGCAGGGTCTAGCAAGAACCTCCTGACCATAAGAAGAGCTGTTCTGCCTCGGAGTCCAGTGGAAAAGAAGCTCCTTCTTTGGAGGCTTTTAAACTGAGGCTGGATGGCCATCTGTCGGGAGTGCTTTGATTGTGCTTTTCCTGCTTGACAGGGACTAGCAAGAACCTCCTGACCATAAGAAGAGCTGTTCTGCCTCAGAGTCCGGTGGAAAAGAAGCTCCTTCGTTGGAAGCTTTTAAAGAGAAGCTGGATGTCCATCTGTTGGGAGTGCTTTGATTGTGCTTTTCCTGCATGGCAGGGTCTTCCTGCACGGCAGGGTCTAGCAAGAACCTCCTGACCATAAGAAGAACTGTTCTGCCTTGGAGTCCGGTGGAAAAGAAGTTCCTTCTTTGGAAGCTTTTAAACAGAGGCAGGATGGCCATCTGTCAGGGGTGCTTTGAATGCAATTTTCCTGCTTCTTGGCAGAATGGGGTTGGACTGGATGGCTCCTGAGGTCTCTTCCAACTCTTATGATTCACCAGTTATCCTCCACCAGATGTGACTTTGGTGATTTCTGAAAGGTAAGCCCTGTTTTGTGGATAGATTTTGTCTTCAGGACTCCATACTTTTTGTCGGAAGGCACATGCTTTGCTGCCAAGTCGGCTTCAGCTTATATGAACCGGCAAAGAGACTCTTCCCAGCCTTGGCACTAGGTGATCCTCAAGGATTTTTGCAGACAAGGATTGCTCTCCGCCGGAACCGGATCCAGGCCGTGCCATGATGGTACCTGGGGACTACACAAAGCGGATGTCTGCAACGGAGCGGCAGTGTCAGTGGCACGTTTTGCTTTGCACAGATGAGAGTCTGCGACCAATGCCTCCAAGTCATGCATCCTTGGGGTTAAATGGGGTGGAAGTAAGCCGACAGGGCTCCCATTTCTGCCCCAAGACCCAGGTGTGACTTCGGAAAAGGTCAAAAGCTCTCTGCTGGCGGTGGGATTCCTCCACTTTGGACTCAGAACTGCACTTCTAACACTGGGTGGCATCACTGGCTCCTTCTCGCTCCACACTTTGGGCACGTTCAAAGCCTTCTCTTTCTCAATAATTTATTTGGAGTTGTGTTTAGTAGTCAATCTCACCAAGAAGAGCATTTGCACAAAGCAAGGTTTAGCTGGGAGAGCCTGGGGAGATTTCAATGGCTCGTTTGAAGGTTTTGCACTAAGCTCTCCCCTTGCTTGTTCTCTTGCCACCTTTCCCCATATTTATTACGCTTCCCTGGCCCCTCCCCAGCCCACGTGATGCGGTACATTTCGTTAGGCGCATGAGAATATTGTACATTGGTGACAACATTGAGTTATAAGGAGGCTCTCCTGTTAGAAATACAAATAAAGCTGAATTATTCCCTACTTGTCCCTGGGGTGCTATCTAGGGCAGTGATGGGCAACCCTTTGAGCTTGGTGTGTCAAAATTTGCCAAAAACCTGAGCACAACTTGGGTAGAGTGTCACTTTGAGAAAAAAACCCATAATTTTGCAATATTTATAGTTTAAATAAGAAAAATGTATAATCCATGCTGAGTTATGAACAATGCTCAAACGTGCAGGTGTTAAATTTGCAGAGCCTTTTACAAATTTAAGGATGGAATTATATAGGCTCTTATAAGGTGTATTTCTCTGTATGTGGCCGCATGTGTCTCTGTGTCATCAAAAATAGCCATGCGTGCCAGTGCTGACACGTGTGTCATAGGTTCACCATCACGGATCTAGGGAAATCTTTGGGATTTTACAGCTGAAGGGAAACCCAAAACATCAAGGTGTTACTGGAGATGCAAACCCTAAATCGTATTAGTACTCATTAAATCCAAGTGATCCATGTGTCGATTCTCCGTTCAACAACTGACTTGGTTCTGCTCTCACTCTGAAAATAAAGAAATGTTCTGCTGGGTTGTTGGTTTTTTGGGCTGAAGCATTCTCTCCTGACATTTCACTTGCATCTATGGCAGACCTCACAACCTCTGAGGATGCCCGCCATAGATGCTGATGAAACATCAGGAGATAATTTATTTATTTTATTTACAGCTTTTATATTCCGCCCTTCTCACCCCGCAGGGGACTCAGGGCGGATTACAGTGTACACATATATGGCAAACATTCAATGCCAATTTTTGACATACAAACATATAGAGACAAACACAGAGGCCACCAGGAGAACTGTCGCTTTCATCGTCCATCTGCGACGCTGATGAAGCACTTCCGCATTCCCCGCATGCTTCCCCGTTGGAATGCTTTGCTGGAGTCTTCTTTATGGCCTCATAAATCAGTTAATTTAGCCTCCCCACACTTTTTAAGGTGGTACCTAATTTTCCTACTTGACAGATGCAACTGTCTTTCGGGTTGCAAAGGTCGATAACAGGCTACACACAATTGGTTGGAAACCCACTCCAACCCAGGCTGGCTTCGAACTCATGACCTTTTGGTCAGAGTGATCTTAATGCAGCTGACACTCAGCCAGCTGCGCCACAATCCTGGTGCAGAAGAATGCTTCTGGAACATGGCCATCCAGCCCGAAAAACTTACAACAACCCAGTGATTCCGGCCACGAAAGCCTTTGACAATATAAGTGTTATGCTGTTAACCATGGCTGGAATTCACAATCAGAGTTAGGATGCATCACCTGGAGCAGATCTCTTTAAGCTGCAGCCTTCCAGGGGTTTGGGCCTCCAACTTCCCTGAAGCCCCTACCAGCTTATCCAATGGCCAGGAATGCTGGGAGCTGAAGTCCAAAAGACCCGGAGGGCTGCAGATTGAAGAGGCTTCACCTGGAGTAACCCCTCCATAGCTAACCTTAGCATAGTCACGTTTAAAGGCCCTTCCACACAGCTCTATATTCCAGAATATTGAGGCAGAAAATCCCACAATATCTGCTTTGAACTGGGTTATCTGAGTCCACACTCAGATAATGTGGGATCTTCTGCCGTAATATTCTGGGATATAGAGCTGTGTGGAAGGGCCCCAAGCCCCCCAATCTCATCGAGAAGTGGCTGCTGCAGGTGACAAGACTCAAGGGTCTGGAGAACAAGCCCTATGAGGAGCAGCTTAAAGACCTGGGCATGTTTAGCCTGCAGAAGAGAAGGCTGAGAGGAGACATGATGAGGGCTCTGTACAAATATGTGAGGGGAAGTCATCGGGAGCAAGCTTGTTTTCTGCTGCCCTGGAGACTAGGACGCAATAGAGCAATGGCTTCAAACTACAGGAAAGGAGATTCCACCTGAACAATAGGAAGAACTTCCTGACTGTGAGAGCTGTTCAGCAGTGGAACTCTCTGCCCCAGAGTGTGGGGAGGCTCCTTCTTTGGAGGCTTTGAAACAGAGGCTGGATGGCCATCTGTCAGGAGTGCTTTGAATGCAATTTTCCTGGTTCTTGGCAGAATGGGGATGGACTGGATGGCCCATGAGGTTGCTTCCCTCTCTGTGATTCTATGATTCTGTTCTCCTGTTGATCAGGGTGCAACAGAAAGACATTTCAACTCCAGTGAAAGAACTTGTGGGAGGGAGGGAGAAAAGGAAGAGGAGAGAGAAAGGGAGAAAGAAGGGAGGGAGGGGAAGGGAAGGAAAAAGGAAAAGAGGAAAGGAAAGAGAAATGAGGAAAGGAAAGGAAGAGGAAAGAGGAAAGGAAGAAAAAGAGGAAAGGAAGAGGAGAGAAAGGAAGGAAAGGGAAGGAAAGAAAAAGAAGAAAGGAAAGAGAAAGGAGGAAAGAGGAGAGGAAAGAGGAAAGAAAAAGAGGAAAGGAAAGAGAAGAAAGAGAAGGAGAGGAAGAGAAAAGGAAAGGAAGGGAGGGGGAAAAAGGGGAAAAGAAAAAGGAAGGGAGGGAGGAAAGGAAGGAAAGAGAAAAGAACGAAACAGAAGGAAGAAAAGTAAGGCCCTTTCTACATTGCCATATAACCCAGATTATCAAAGCAGATAATCCACATTATCTGCTTTGAACTGGATTATGAGTTTACACTGCCATATAATCCAGTTCAAAGCAGATAATCTGGATTTTATATAGCAGTGTGGAAAGGGCCTAAGAAAGAAAGAAAGAAAGAAAGAAAGAAAGAAAGAAAGAAAGAAAGAAAGAAAGAAAGAAATGTAGGCTACAAACAGAGAGAGGAAGAATCCAGAACGTGTGGTGTAGTGGTGTGAACCTTGGACCGTGGCTCTGAACCCACTGGGTGACTTTAGGCAAGTCACACTCTCTCCGCGTCGGAAGAAGCAAAGGCAAATCCCCTTGGAATAAATTGTGACAAGTCGGTTGCCCCAAGTCTGAAACGACTTGAAGGCACAAAACAGCAATCCTAATGAACTTGATTCTCTAAACAGCCAAAAGCAGACCAACACGCCTCCCATTAAAATACTAGTTTGAAAAAGTTTTTCATTTTAAAGATTACTTTTTTTCATGGTTTTTGCACTTTGAATTAGATCTCTGCAGTGTATATATATATATTTCAAACTAGAGTCGGGCTCCTCAACAGCCTCAGGGACCCTGAACAGTATCACTGAGGATGATGTTAGGCCAAAACCACCAGCGCTCTTTACCACTGGCAAGAGCTGCTGGGAATTCCAGTCCGTGAACACCCCATGGCTATGTGGCCCAACCCCAGATTCCCACAACCCACATTTAGCAGGGGAGGCCGCTGTGTTGTGAAAACCGTCTCTTTAGTAGTAAACAGGAGATCACGATGCCATAATTTAAACACTTTTTTTCTTTGTTGTTCCCAGACACACAACAGTAACAAACGTTTAGAGCAGGTAGTAAAGTGACGAAGGCACAGGGGGAGCGTCGTCGTCGTCGGCACGTTCTTCCGGGGCTCGGACGCCGCCGAGGGGGACAGGGCGAGGCCGCCAGACGCCAGCTGGCAGGCAAAGGCCGCGGGAGTTTGGGTCTGGGGGGCAGAGAGAAAGAGAAAGAGAGAGATACCGTGGGAGGGTGACATGCATCTGGAGGCCGGGGGAGGAGGAGGAAAGGGAAGGGCAAAACCAGAAGTGTCCTCCAAGGTCCGTGTGTCCCGTCGCGATGGATCCGAGTAGAGCTAAACCCGCGCCACCATCTCCTCCTCCCTTGTTGCTCTTCTTGCCAGGCATAGGGCAAAGCAGATGTCGTTGTCATTGGTGCACGGGGGTTCTGGACCCAGTATGGCTTTTGTTTCCTGGGGAGGGAATCTGAGTCCTCCTTTTCAGCTGCTCTGATGGGACAAGAGCTCTCTCTTGATGGGAAAGGATAGGGAGAGGGTCAAATTCTGCCTGTGGAGAGCCCAAGGGAGGGTTCACAGTGAGCCAGGGGGCAAAGAGGGACCCACCCCCCTCTGCTAGTCCAGAGTCTGTTTGGGGAATGGATATAAATAAGAGTCCTCTGTGATGGATGCTTGAGACAGGCTGACCCCGCCGGAGACTCGGCCTCAGAACATGCAAAGCTGCAACCGATATGACAGTGTGCTTCTGAGCATGTGCAGAAAATGGGCTCACTGAGCTGCTGTGAAACTATAGGAAGCCATCAAACACATTCCAGGCAAGGGCTTTTCAGCCATTTCTAGATAACACCACTGGCCAGTTCAACTATTCCTGGTTCATCCTGATGTTCCACTGTAAAACAAGTGCTACGGGGGTGCAGCCAGGCTTCAAACAGAGCTAAGAAAAGATACTCGCGGATCTGCCCCTGGTCAGCCTAGCTATTGACCACAATGGCTGGGGACCTTGGGAAAAATCCCAATAAACACCCTTGACCTTGACACGTCTTACTCATTGCCACCCAAATGATGTGGATGGCTCTTACAAGCCCAAAGCCTCCCCGACAAACAGCCAAAGCCAACACAACAACAGGTAAGAATACAGTGCAAGGTGACTTCAAATGCCATCTGCAGCACTATTTCAAAAGCATCTCCACTCCATCCAAGCTTTTGCCATGGACCTGCATTACCAGATTCTGTGAGGAAACCAAGAAGGCAAAAGAAGTGCTCTAGCTTTCCACAGTAGCCCACCCCATCCTTGATCCTGCTCCCAATTCCTTTTTTTGGTGGTGGAACTGCTCAGACCAAAGGAAAACAAAGCCAAGAGCTCCTCTCAGTCTCTGGCTGGCTATTTCCAGGTCAAATCATTGAGATGTTGTGGTCCCTCAAGCTCCGTCACTTCCCGATTCCAGAAACACAATCTCGAAACACAATCATATCTTGCAGATAGCGTTTGGAGACCTCTTTTTGCCCCATGCCAATTGCCAGATCCAGACAAAGGGGAGGTGAATGCCAGTTGCGTGAGCCATGCAATGTTGCACACAAACAAAACTGTGCTGTAAACCGATTCAAAGCCATCCAAAATTTAAACAAAGTTGAATCTCTAGTTACTGATAAATAAATTTAGCGTGCCCAGAGAAAACAACAGGTTGCATCTGGATGCAGCCATACCAAACCCACTGGAAAATCAATAGGACTTCAATTAGCCATGACTAAGATATCCTTTCAATTCCAATGGCTCTGCCAAGTGTCCAAGTTTGGATCCCATCCACTATGTATCACCAAATGATCCTGCTTCAAAATGTTTCTGGTCCATTTTAAATTGCCAAACCCCTGATTACATACATACCTTTAAAAAGATAATTTTGTTTGCTTTGAACTGATTTCAAGCACAGCTATTATTCCACAACACTTACGTGAATTAACACAAAACCCAGTGCCTAAGGAAGCCCACTCCTTAGTTCCACACACAGCTTCACAGAACAAGCATGTCATCTATCAAAAGGCAGTGAAATGCACCTCGTGTGACCCAGAGGCCAATGCCATGGCAGAGGTGGGCTCTATCCATGCTTGGAGACAAGTCTCTCCCATGTGACATCCCCCAACAGCACCAGGTTGTAACTCCTACCATCCCCACCACAAGATTGAGGTTGTAGTGATTGTGGTCCAACACACTGACAGAGTGGAAAAGCGAAACAGCATCAGATCCACAGCGTTTGCTTCCACTCATCAACCCAAACACTCATGATAGGAAAACCTCTGTTCCTAAGCTGAGCAAAAGAAGGGGTTCTTAATCATCCCTAACAAATGTGCCCCAGATATGTAGAACTGTGCTATCACTATACCCAACACACAGCTTCATAGAACAAGCATGTCATCTATCAAAAGTCACCTATGTAGGCAGTGAAATGCACCTCGTGTGACTCGGAGGCCAATGCCGTGGCAGAGATGGGCTCTATCCATGCTTGGAGACAAGTCTCTCCCGTGTGACATCCCCCAACAGCACCATCCCCACCACAAGATTGAGGTTGTAGTGATTGTGGTCCAACACACTGACAGGGTGGAAAAGTGAAACAGCATCAGATCCACCGTGTTCGCTTCCACTCATGATAGGAAAACCTCTGTTCCTAAGCTGAGCAATACAAGGGGTTCTTAGTCATCCCTAACAAATGCGCCCCAGATATGTAGGACCATGCTATCACTATACCCAGGCAGGTTGGGGCAGGATGGGGTTCGCAGTCCAATATATTTGGAAGGCATTCTAATTGGCAAAGGCTGGTCTATCTGGATAAATGAGATGACAACCCACACTGGTCATTTACGACACTTATATCCTGCCCTTCTCACCCCGAAGGGGACGCAGTAGCTGACATTAATTCCACTTCAGTAGCCGACATTAAAATACACATGATATGTAGGACCGTGCTATCACTATACCCAGGCAGGTTGGGGCAAGATGGGGTTCGTAGTTCAACGTATTTGGAAGGCATTCTAGTTGGCAAAGACTGAGCTATCTGGACAAATGAGCTGCCAACCCACACTGGTCATTTACGACACTTATATCCTGCCCTTCTCACCCCAAAGGGGATGCAGTAGCCGACATTAATTCCACTTCAGTAGCCGACATTAAAATGGTAAAATGCCATCCAGTAGCACCTGAATAGTTTTGTTTTTGTGAGGGAGACAAATAAAGAAAGAGAGAGAGAGGTCAGCTGTTGCTCCTGTAGTTTTCACTGGTGAAACTGCAGCCAAGGACCCTGATTCCACATCCCAGCCCAGCCTTGGCATTAGGGGACAGACTGCATGACGTTTGCCTGGATGTGACAGTAGAAACCCATGGAGGCAAACTCCAAAACCAAAGCACGTTTGTGTCAGCCAGCCTGTTGGGGTGGGGAGGAGAGGAATGAAAGTGTCTTCAAGTAGAAGTGCCTGCCAGTTCAAAGTGAAGTCCACTTAGCATCTCAAAAAAATAAATTTTGGAGGAAAGTCAAAGAATTAGGGATAAAAGATAAGATGGCAGCAAGCTGGACCCTCACGTTGAGATAGGATGCTGGCCAAAAGGAGGCAGGAACTCTTGGGCAGGATCTTGCTGGAATTTGAACATTAAGGAATGCCTCTTTGGAGATCATTTGGTGCACTACGATGTTTGGCGGCAGGGGAAGAGTACGAGGCTGAAGAGAGGCTCTTCTGGGTGGAGGTGCCAACAGTGTCCCCATCAGCAGAACAAAAAAACTGGAATATCTTGTGCAAAATACACCAAAAACAAAAATAGAAATTTTAAAAAAGAGGGAGGAAGAAACAAAACAGACACAGGGGTTCCTTTGAAAGGACTTTTTTGGGGTGAGGGGGCGGAGTGGGGCATTTCCCCTTTGCAAAAGGGATTCCTTCCGCTTCTGGAAGACTGGGAGAAATTCAGCCGAGTCCAGATGAAAGGCGGTTCCGGATCCCAGTCTGGGAGACTTGAGGGAAAGGCGGGGAGAGGAGGCAAGGAGGAAGGGGCAGCTCAGTTCACCCTTGTGCAAAACCTGCCCTCCAGCGGCCTGTGCTAAAATCCTTAGCTTTTAAATACGGTTCGTTAATACTTTTTTTTAAATAGCTGAGAAGTGCAAAGGGTCCTGTGCTACATAGTTCTCCAATATATTAAGTTAAACTCCATTAGTGTCTCTCGTTCCAGGAGAGGGAGGGAGGAAACAACCTGTACATACAGCAGGATACCGACAAAGAGTCCGAGGGTTTCACCGGCGCAAGGAGCCAAAGGGGCCGGCTGACGGAGGGATAGGGCCAGGTCTATACCACTGTGCCACTCGGGGAGCCGCCGTTCTGAGAGTTCAGAGTCTGAAAATAGACAAGAGAAAGTGTAAATGTCACAATGGTTCTCAACCTTTCTAATGCCAGTTCTTCATGTTGTGGTGACCCCCAACCATTTGTTTATTTTTTTATTTTGTATCAAAAGCATTGCATAAATTAGTATAAAACTGATAAAAATAGAAGGCATGCAGGCGACTAAATATCTTTTGACCAAAAACGGGCAACAGCAACGGCATTGTCTGTAGCCTCCAACAATTCCTCCTCTGCACATGAGGCAGGGCACAGTGGACAAGCATACAGATATGGAGTTGTCTGTCCTGCTCCACAGTCACACAAGGTTTGGGATTCTTTTAGGTAGTGCCATTTTGCCAGGTTGTCTTTTGATCTGCCCACTCCGCTTCTGAGTCGATTCAGGGACTTCCAAGTTGCCCATTCTTGGATTGCCCCTGGAGGAAGACCCTCGCGGGGGGACATCCTGTTGGGAACCCCAACCATAAAATTATTTTTGTTGCTACTTCATAACTATAATTTTGCTACTGTTATTAATCGTCATGTAAATATCTGATATGCAGGATGTATTTTCAATCACTGGACCAAATTTGGCACAAATACCCGATACGCCTGAATTTGAACCCTGGTGAGGTTGTGTGGGGTGGGAAAGATTAATATTGTCACCTGGGAGTTGTAGTTGCTGGGATTTATAGTTAACCTAAAATCAAAGAGCATTCTGAACTCCACCAAAGATGGAATTGAACCAAACTTGGCACACAGAACTCCCATGACTAACAGAAAATACTGGAAAGGTTTGGTGGGCATTGGGTTTTGGAGTTGTAGTTCACCTACATCCAGACAGCATGGTGGACTCAAACAATGACTGATCTGGACCAAACTTGACACGAATACTCATTATGCCCAAATGTGAACACTGGTGGAGTTTGCAGAAATTAGATCTTGACATGTGGAAATTGTAGTTCACTTCACTTCACTTTATTTCTTAATTAGTCGCTCTCCACCAAGGTGCTCCGAGCAACTTACAGTCTAAAATAGAATTTACACAATATAAAAACATTCAACATAAAAACATTCAACAGTGACTATTTGGCAAATTAGATCTGATTACTTAAATGCACAACCAAACAGCCAAGTCTTGAGTGCCTTTACAAAAGGCCGCAACTCCGACATTGCTCTAATGTATGGAGGCAATGAGTTCCACAGAGTTGGAGCATAGGTCAAAAAAGCTCTACGCCTTGTAGCTTCCAGGTGTACCTCCCTAGGGCCCGGTATATATAGGAGATTTTCCTGGGTGGATCGAGGTGACCACTGATGGAGAAAAGGAATGAGGCGGTCCCTAAGATATAAAGATCTTTGGCCATTTTGAGCTCTAAATGTCAGGATCAGTATCTTGTAGTTGCTGGGATTTATAGTTCACCTACAATCAAAGAGCATTCTGAACCCCACCAATGATAGAATTGGGCCAAGCTTCCCACACTGAACCCTCGTGACCAACAGAAAATATTGTATGTTCTGATGGCCTTTGGTGACCCCTCTGACACCCCCTTGGTGACCCCCAGGTTAAGAAAGGCTGCATTATGCCTTTGAGGGCCACAATTTTATAGCCCCCTGATTCCTATACAAAACTCACCCCCCCCCCTCCCCAGCAGCTATCAAACTACAGGTGGCTTCTACTGCTTTTTATTCAGAGGTAACACAGAAGAGAAAGAAGTAACTTATCTCAACTGCAAAAGGAAAGGAAGGAGACACACTCATTGTTTTCCATTTCTTAGCAGCTGAGATTGGAACAGCTGGGTTAATAAAATGTCTGTAGAACAGACCCCTGCTCATTTTTGCCCACTTGATTAAGGGTCTGGGTCAGAAAAAAACAAAACAGCATACCAGGAAGGACAATTACGAGTGGATCCAGGCATAGTCATGCTTTGAGTAAACTCCACACAGACCGAAGATAGTCATGAACAACTTGTCTCATTGATTCCTGTTCTAACCATGACGTAAACTCAGATCCACCCTTAGGACCCTTCTGTAATTATGGCAAAGGCAGGGCGATCTGTACCATGAGGAAATGCCCCCCAAAAGGCCAGGAGATGCTTTTCAGGGCAAGGGACGGGTGGGGATTCTGCCGGTTCCCTCAACAGGGTTCTTTGTTCTCTCCGCTGTGGAAAACCAGCTTGGGCAGCTGCCCAGACCTGCTCCGGCATTCAAGACCAGAGAAAAACAAGACGCACGAGGCATCAGCTGCTGTCACCAGGAACCCAAGCAGTGAGAGGACAAAGAGTGGCGAGAGAGGAATCAGCGGGGCAGGAAACACCAAGGGAACTGGTTTAGCTATCACACTAAACCTGCACACCAATGAAATCAGAGGAAGGAAAGTGGGGAAAAATCTCTAGCAAGCACATCTGTTTTAGACCCATTTCACACCAGGGCCTTTCCTCCGTTTCCCCTTTCGTACACAGGATGTTTTTCCATTGCCAGCAGAGAATCTGCACGACTAGACATTAAGTCTAGTCGTGGTCCATAGACACCTCCAAGGTCATGTGGCTGGCATGACTGCATGGAGCACCGTTACCTTCCCGCCGAAATGGTACCTACTGATCTACTCACATGTGAATGTTTTTGAACTGCTAGGTTGGCAGAAGCTGGGCCTAACAGGAGGAGCTCACGCCACTCCCCGGATCTGAACCACCAATCTTTCAGTCAGCAAGTAAAGTTCAGCAGTTTACTGATTCATAAAATAAATTATGTTGAGACAGGAGTACTCAATCCAGGGAATGATCTTGAGCAGGCATCTTCAGACTGCAGCTCTGCAACTCCCATAAGCCCTAACCAGCTTGTTTAATTGCCAGGAATTTTGGGAGTTGGAGACCTGGAGGACTGCAGTTTGAGGATGCCTGATCTTGAGGGTAAAAAGGGTAACAGGACTGAGAATAGCACATGTATGTTTTGTGTGTCCGTGTATGTTTTGTGTGTGCATATATGTGTGTGTGTATTTCTGTATATATTTGTGTATGTGTATATATGTGTGTTTGTGTACATATGTGGTTTTGTACATGTGTTGTCATGGGTTTTTTTTTTTGCTTTTTAAGTCCCTTCTGCTGTGTTTTTCAGTGTTTTATGAGTGATGGTCACTCGTTGGCCTGATCGATGTCTTGTGTCCAAATTTGGTGTCAATTCACCCAGTGGTTTTTGAGTTATGTTAATCCCACAAACGAACATTACGTTTTTATTTATATAGATCACAATTAAGTTCAATACAACTCCCAAGGGTTCTCTGTAATCCATGATTTCAAGCAGCCACGTATCCCCTGCGGATATGGGATTCATACTGTAATAAATACAACTGCCCAGTATGCCCAGCTGTGTGTTGAGTTATACTTACTGCTTTCCCCGGCCTGGCCCAGGTGCAGATGAGGCCCTCCTGGCAAGCAGTAATGATACAGTCCTCCAGGAAAAGCAAGACGGTCAGCCGTTCGTGGGCAATCTTCTTGCAAATGAGGGGCTCCAGGAGGGGCACTTCGTTGATGCGGGGGCACAGGGAAGTGCCCAAGACCTTGGCGGTATCCAGCTTGCTTTTGGGCACCACGTTGAGCTTGTCGTTGCTCTTGCTGATGTTGCCCAAGCTGTGGTAGCGCTTGTGCTCTTTCTCGGCGTTCTTCTCCTTCCGCTCCTGCAAGGTCAGGGTGGCGAACTTGCCGATGCTGAAGGGCACCACCCCATCGGCCACGTGGCTCTTGGCGGCGCTGGTGACGGCTGGGTGGGGCAAGCTGTTGGAGCGGGACAGCGAGCGAGGGAGGGCCCCTCCGCCGGTGGATTCAGCAGCCAGGTTGCTCCCACCACTCCCGGAAGGGGGGATGCCGGCGCTGAAGGTGTTGGTGAGCGTTCGGGCCCGGGAGAGCGGGTGATGAGGGTACAAGACGTCTTCCGTCAGATCCCAAAGGCAGAACTGGGTGTCCTGGCCGGCAGAGCCAAAGCGGTAAGTCACCGAGGGCGTACTTTTGGTGCTGTGCTTAGAGAGGTGGGAGAGGGTGCTGCTTGTCCTTACCCTGCCAAAATTGGACGTCTCTTGGATGTCCTCGTCACTCCCACTGAACTCCCCACTTCCGTCGTCCTCCGTGCTAGTGGTGAAGGGGTCAAAAGCCACAGCATTGACCCACGACTTGTGGCCGTGGCCCCTGGCAATGACCCTGCCCTCGGCAAAGGACCAGACTGTTACCAGGTCGTCCTCGCCCCCCGTCACGATGTAGCGCCCGTCAGGGCTCCAACAGACGCACAGCAGGCCCCCGAAGTAGCTCTTCATCATCCCCTGCAGAAGCATGGAGTCAAAATGGAAGACACGGAGGCAGCCGTCTTGGCTGACACAAGCCAGGTAGCGCCCGTCGGGGGAGAAGGCGAATTCGTTGAGGGCTCCTTCGCCAACCGCCCATTTCAGGAGTGGGTTGCGAGCGCTCTTGCTCTTGCACCCGTAGACAGTGAAGCCCTCGCCTTGTTTCAGGAGGGTGTACTGGGGCGAGGCTGAGCCGCAGGGGTGCTCCACGTTGTACAGGTACAAGTGGCCACTGGCGTGGGAGGCCAGGAAAAGGCTCTCGGTCTCAGGGATCCACTTCACAAAAGTCACCTTGGTCTTGTCAATCAGTCGCTGAGGGGCAAGAGGCAAAAAGGGAGCATTATTACTATAAACATTCCACCTTTCCATAGTCTGGGACTCAAGGCAGTTGCAAAGTCCATAATAAATAAAGCTAAATAATTTTAAATACTTGAAGGGAGATGTCGACAAGCTGGAAGGTGACCAGAGGAGGGCAACTAAAATAATAATAATAATAATAATAATAATAATAATAATACTTTATTTATACCCTGCTACCATCTCCCCAAGGGACTCGGAGCGGCTTACATGAGACCAAGCCCAAAAACACATCAAAACAACAAGCAATAATAAAAATGACAACAATAACCAAAATAAACAGTACAATCAATATAAATTACAAGTAAACAATAACACAAGAATTTAAAAACCTATGACTGGGCCAGATGTAATAGTCAAAAACTTTAAAAACAGATGCTGGACATGAACAGAGGGTGTATCTATTGGGAGGGTTTTAAATCAAGGTAAGAACAACCCAACGGGTAATTAAAGTGCTTCTCAGAGTATTTGCCGGAGATTGTTTCCTTTATTCAGGGAAGGCACATTGGAACAGCCACATTTTCAAGCTCCTCCTAAAGACTGCCAATGTGGGGGCTTGTCTGATATCCTTGGGGAGTGAGTTCCAGAGTTGAGGGGCAATCATGGAGAAGGCCCTCTCCCTCGTCCCCACAATCGCACCTGCGAAGGAGGTGGGAGCGAGAGCAGGGCCTCCTCAGATGAACAAAGAGACCACATGGGTTCGTACACAGAAATGCGGTCACACAGGTAGGTGGGTCCCAAACCGTTCAGGTGATCAAGAGTCTGGAGAATAAGCCCTATGAAGAGCAGCTTAAGGAGCTGGGCATGTTTAGCCTGCAGAAGAGAAGGCTGAGTGGAGACATGATGAGGGCCAGGTATCAAGATGTGAGTGAAAGTCATAGGGAGGAGGGAGCAGGCTTGTTTCTGCTGCCCTGGAGACTAGGACGCAAAACAATGGCTTCAAACTACAGGAAAGGAGATTCCCCCTGAACATTAGGAAGAACTTCCTCCCTGCGAGAGAGAGCTGCTTTGCTGTTCAGCAGTGGAACAGTGTGGTGGAAACTCCTTCTTTGGAGGCTTTTAAATAGAGGCTGGATGGCCATCTGTTGGGGGGGCTTTGAATGCAATTTTCCTGCTTCTTGGAAGAATGGGGTTGGACTGGATGGCCCACCAGGTCTCTTCCAACTCTATGATACTATTAAAAAGTTAAAAATTTAATTAAGCTATCAATACAATTAACAGCAGTCAAAAGCAACCCATGATGAAGTATGACAAGGCAGTATATGAGCCCCTCTCCCCTGAGCAGTTAGCCTTCCAAGGCCTACAGAACAAAAAAGTATTTTCCTGCCTGTTGAATGAATGAAGGAAGATGCCAATCTAACCACTCCAAAAAGGGAGTTCCAGACTCACACTGCAAACATAGTAACAGAGATCAATGTCTGAAATATCAGAAAGTGAGAAAAACAAAGCTCAAGATTCATCCATTGCCTCTTAAAGCTGTCATTTCAATGGTCTGGGTTGCTGTGAGTTTTCTGGGGTCTATGGCCATGCTCCAGAAGCATTATCTCCTGACCTCTGAGGATGCCTGCCATTGATTTGTGGGTGAAACGTCAGGAGATAAGGTTTCTGGAACATGGCCATACACCCCGGAAAACTCACAGCAACCCAGTGATTCCGGCCATGAAAGCCTTCGACAAGACATTTCAAGGATCCTTTCTCAGCAGATCCTCCATCCAAAGTTGGCATAGCCAACATCCTCCCTGTGGCAGAGTAGTAATTAATTTGCAAAAAAAGAGAGAAAAGAAGGCCAAGCTTCTGGAAAGACTTACAAAGCAACATCTAATAAGAGGTAAAATGTTCATATTAAAACAAAAACACAGTCATAAATTTACTCATGAAATAATCAGAAGCTCGCTGCCCCAAAACTTGCCAAAGGTCTCCGAGTGTAATGGCTGCTTTTTTTGTGCCAGCTGCAGAAACACAGCTGGATGCTACGCATGATGCTGCCTTGAGAAGCAAGAGATTCAGTATGTTTCTTTCAGCCGTATTGTTTTTATATTGCTTTTAATTGTGTTGTTATTTGTTTTATCTGATGTTTTAATTGGTTAAAGTGTTTTACATGTGTGTTTTAATTGTAATCTTGGGCGTATCCCTTGTAAGCCACCCTGAGTCCCCTAGGGGAGATGGCTGGCGGGGTATAAAAATAAAATTATTATTATTATCATCATCATCATCATCATCATTATTTATAGAGAGGTATCCAGTAACAAATGTCTCCTTTTACATCCGATTTAAACAGACATACATTCTTGTAATCCCAAGTTATGTGATCATACATTACCAAGAGGACGCTGTGCTTTGACTCACCTCTTCGTTGAATAGTTTAGTGGTATCTTTCTTGATAAGATCCAGGTACTGCACCTGCCCAGCTGAGAAGCCAACCAGCAGCGAGATAGTTTCTGATGCAGCTGTGAACTGGTTGAAATCGTGGCAAGTAGGCTGCGTCCCCTTATAGATCCTCTTGTCAATGGGTTTCTTTAGGTCAATGGACTGGAAATTCAGCAGAAATAAAATGGGGAAAGGCATTAGGGTACAGAAATCAAAAGCTTGAAATGAAACTTGATTGCTGACTGAGACAATTGAGTCAAGAGACAATTTTGATGCTCCTTCATTCTGTATACCATCGGTGACTTCAGTACATACATTACTACTAATAATAACATGATATTATAATTATATATTTTATATTAAATATAATATTACTAATAATATGACAGTATAATGTTATAGTATAATCTATCTATATAAAAATGCTCTGTGCATAATGAGTACCTTAAAAACAAAAGAACCAATGAACGAAATCACACCAAATTTGGCAACAAAACGTCTCACAACACAAGGAGTGACCATCACTCAAAAATGATTTTGTCATTTGGGAGTTGTAGTTGCTGGGATTTATAGTTCACCTACAATCAAAGAGCATTCTGAACTCTATCAACGATGGAATTGAACCAAACTTGGCACACAGAACTCCCATGACCAGAGAGCACTGTGGACTCAAACAATGATGGATCTGGACTAAACTTGGCACAAGCACTCAATACGCCCAAATATGAAAACAGATGGAGTTTGGGGGAAATAGACCTTGACATTTGGGAGTTGTAGTCACTGGATTCACAGTTCACCTACAATCAAAGAGCATTCTGAACCCCACAAACAACAGAATCGGGGCAAACTTCCCACACAGAACCCCCATGACCAACAGAAAATACTTAAGGCCATCCAATCCAACTCCCTTCACCAGGGCAAGAAAACGTGATCAAAGCCCTCCTGACAAAGAGCCATCCAGCCATAGATATAGATAGATAAGATTCACACACACACAGAAATCAGTATCATAGATTTGAAAGGGACCCTTAAAGAAGGACAATGATATGTTGCATGTTCCAGGGTGGGCAAACCAGACAATCTCCACATCAACACTGACAAAGAAACAGGCAGACATACTGTTTACCCACAAGCACAAAGAATTTACATATATTAGAAACCAATACTTTCTCATTACTTTATTTTCCAGATCAACCAACTGGGCAACAGCAACGCATGGCAGGGGACAGTTGGTGTAATACAAAATATTAATATTGTGCTGTGTTAATAATATAATATATTGTATTTACTTTTTACGTGTAAGCCGCTCTGAGTCCCCTTCGGAATGAGAAGGGCGGCATATAAATGTCACAAATAAATAAATAAATAAATTAGCTGTCTAGTGAATGCTGAAGGCCCCACAAGCCCCTTCTGAATCAGGCACAGATCTCAACTTCTTCAGTGTTCAGCAAACAAGTCTTCTTAACTCATTTTGCACTGGCTTTGACACATTTAAATTCTGTATCAAACGTCCAGTGCAAACTACCTTGGAAGCAAGGTAAAAAAAAAATCAACTGGTCGACTTACATAAAATAGCTATCAGTGACATCAAAGATATTTCTGTGACACTTCTCAGCCTGGTTAAGCAGCTCAGAAGCAATTTTTATGTGCCACGTTTCAACAGATGTACCCTTGACATCATTTATTCTATTTTCTCTAGTCATCAGGAAACTAAAAAAAAAAAACATCAAGAGGAATCGAGGGAAATCATAGTTCCCCTCTATTCCGCTTTGCTCAGAACTAGAATCATACAATCATAGAGTTGGAAGAGATCCCAAGAGCCACCCGATCCAACCCCCTTCTGCCATACAGGAAAAGCACAATCAAAGCACCTCTGACAGAAGACCATCCAGCCTCTGTTTAAAAGTCTTCAAAAGAGGAGATGCTACCAGTCTGCAAGGCAGCATATTCCACTGTCAATAGAAAGTTGAGGTGGGATCTCTTTCCCTGCCATTTGAACCCATGGCTTCATTGTATTCTGTTCTCTAGAGCAACAGGAAACAAGCTGGTCTCCTCCTCAATGAGACATCTTTTTCAATATATAAACACTGCTCTGATGACCCCTTCTCTCAGGCTTCATCCACACTGCCATATACAGGGGAAAATTCAACATGGGTTGTTGTAGGTTTTTCGAGTGGTCCCTGATCAAAAAAAAGGTTGGGAATCATTGCTGTAAGGGATCGGGGGCAACTGACCTTCCTTTCTGGGAGATGCAAACAAACTGTAACCCTCACCAATGGTGGACGTGAACCAAACTTGGCACACAGAAGCCCCGCGACTAAATCCACCTATTGGAGGAGTTTGAGGGGACTGACTCATCATAGTGGGAGTTGTAGTTTACCGTGCAGCCAGAGAGCACACTGAACCCCACTTATGATGTCTCTAGAGGCTCTGGCAAACTTTCTAACTTGGGGGCTGCATGGCGGGCCAGAGCGGGGTGGGCAGGCAAGGAGGGGGTTCTCCCCCGTCCCCTCCCTGCCCTTTCCTCCCCTTCCTCTGCTCTTTCAGAGGTAGAAAGTGAAGGAAAGACTGGTGGAAGGGAAAGAAGGAAGCAAGGAGAAAGAGGGAGAGAGGAAAGAAATGGAATGAGGGAAGAAGGAAGGGAAGACAAAAGGGAAGAAAAGAAGGAGAAGGTAAGAGAGGGAAGGTGGAAGGAAGGAAGGAAGGAAGGAAGGAAGGAAGGAAGGAAGGAAGGAAGGAAGGAAGGAAGGAAAGGAGGGAGGAGATAGTGGGAGGGAGGGAGGAAAGAGGGAAGGAAGCAGGGAGGGAGAAAGAGGGTGGTAAGGATGGGGGGGACGAGGAAAGAGAGAAGGAAGGAAGGAAGGAAGGAAGGAAGGAAGGAAGGAAGGAAGGAAGGAAGGAAGGAAGGAAGGAAGAAAGGAAGGAAGGGAGAAGGAAGGAAAGACAAAAAGGGAGGGAAGGGAAGGAAAGGGAGAAAGAGGGAAAGACGAAAAGGGAGGGAAGGAGAGACGGGAGGGAAGGAAAGAAAGAGAGAAGGAAGAAAGGATAGGATAGTGAGAGAGAGGAGGGCCTCAGAAAAGAGCTCTCGGGCCTGGGTTTGCCCATGCCTGATCTAGAGCAAACTTGCCCAACATGACAAACTTTAAGTACTGATGGAGTTTATAAACAATTATATTTTATTGTTATGGGTACTAATTGTGTTACTTTGTAACCTTTGTTTTTGCTGGGCCTCGTCCCAATGTAAGCCGCCCCGAGTCTCTTCGGGGAGATGATGGCGGGATATAAGAATAAAGTTGTTGTTGTTGTTATTATTATTTGAAACATAACAAGATGAGTCCACCTACAACTTCTATAAATCATGTTGAATTTATTGTTGAAAGCTTTCATGGCCGGAATCACTGGCTTGTAGATTTTTTGCGCTATATGGCCATGTTCTAGAAGCATTCTCTCCTGACGTTTCGCCTGCATCTATGGCAAGCATCCTCAGAGGTAGTGAGGTCTGTTGGAAGTAGGAAAAGGGGTTTATATATCTGTGGAATGATCAGGGTGGGACAAAGGACTTTTGTCTGCTGGAGCTAGGTGTGAATGTTTCAACTGACCACCTTGATTAGCATTTGATGGCCTGGCAGTGCCTTGGGCAAACTTTTGTTGAGAGGTGATTAGATGTGCCTGATTGTTTCCCTTCTGTTGTTTTGCTGTTGTAATTTTAGAGGGTTTTTTTTAATACTGGTAGCCAGATTTTGTTCATTTTCATGGCTTCCTCCTTTCTGTTGAAATTGTCCACATGCTTGTAGATTTCAATGGCTTCTCTGTGATGCCTGACATGGTGGTTGTGAGAGTGGCCCAGCATTTCTGTGTTCTCAAAGAATATGCTGTGTCCAGGTTGGTTCATCAGGTGCTCTGCTATGCTTTGTTCCACTCTGGTTGTGCAGGTACAGCTGTACCAGGAGCTCCAATTTTGTTTGCTTTGCACTGAATGTTTGTTGTAGTCCTAAGTTTCAGGGACTTTGCAGATAGGTGGCTTCTTTTGGCTGCAAACATAGGGCAAGCCACCTGTCAATTATAGTTAGGTTCCCTGGTCCTGCCCCCTTTTGGGGTTTTGGAGGGAATAGGAGCCAGTTTGGGTTCAGTCCACACAGAGAAGCTTTTCATGCAGGACATAGTACTAAGAGCTCCTGTAGAAAGCTTCGTCTTCTACAGCTTGGCCGGGGAGAAAGGTCCCGTAGCTTGGTCAAGGATTATACAGCCTTACAGCTCCTTCGCTGAGGGACTTCAGTCAGCCATCACCAAAGCCTGAATTCCTTCTTTTTTCCCCTGGAAGTCTACAAAGCTCTGCTTGGTAAGGGTCACTTGCGGAAGCCAGAAGCACTTGGTACAGGGTCAGGGACTCCACACCAACAGAGGCAAAGACAGACTGCCCAGATTAGAAGTCAAGGATTTCCCCATTAGTAAGTATACAGTTAAGAAGATAGTGCCTGTTCCCCATGGAAAAGATTGAGAGAGAGCCAATAGACTATTAAGAAAGCCTTAAAGCACCTGTTTGTTTTCAATAATAAAGAACTTTGTTGAACCTTTACGCAATCTAAAGACTCTGTTTTAAGGAAATCCAAAGGCCTTTAATCTGAGGCAGCCCTGGCGTCCCCGTTGGGCACACGGAATTTATGTCCTGTCTACAGTCTGATGCACAGGCCCAGCGTGCGATAGCACACTGGTCATTCCACAGATATACAAACCCTTTTTCCTAGTTTTCCTAGTTTTCCTTTTTCCTAGTTTTTCCTAGTTTCCTAGTTCCAACAGACCTCACTACCTCTGAGGATGCTTGCCATAGATGCAGATGAAACGTCAGGAGAAAATGCCTCTAGAACATGGCCATATAGTCTGAAAAAAAACTACAACAACCCACACATATATACACATATACACATATATCCACACAAAACACATATAATAATAATAATCCTTTATTTATACCCCGCTACCATCTCCCGCAGGACTCAGTGCGGCTTACAAGAGGCCGAGCCCAAATACATCATAAAACATAACAACAACAATACAACAATGATAATTCATAACAAGCAAAAATCATACAATGCACAGCACAATAATGACACGGTGCAATTAAAAACCGGTGGCAGGGACAAGCGTAAGAGTTAAAAATTTAAAAATGCTGATAAACAACAAATAAAAAGACAAAGAAATGATTGATAGATAAGGGAAAATAATAAGCAGAAATCACAGATAAATTATAAACAATAAATTAGTCAAGTATAGAACAAATATAAACTACAAACCAGTCAAAAACTGGCTTTCCTTCTGGAAACATTTCAAAGAGATGAAAAGAAAAGGAAGAAAGGAAGAAAAGGAAGAGACCAGCCTCGAAGAATCTTGGAAGTCAACTTGGAAGAAAAAGTTTAAATCTTGTATTTCTTTCTTTTTAAAATTCTATCTTGCCTTTTTATCCCTTTTCGATACCCCTCCCTTCTAT